ACTGCGGAATTAAAACCATTTCAGACACCCCAAAACGCAGAAATGTCGAGGCCAAAGTTTCTTTACTCCGGTTGGCCGAACCCGAGCGGAATCGCTCGGAATTGGGGTTTGTAATTCGTGCGCCCCACAAAACGACCCCGATCCTATGAAGCCGGAAAATTAAGGGGGGAAAAAATAAAAATTAAAAAAAATATAGAATGGAATGGAATGGAATGGAATGGAATGGAATAGAATAGAATAGAATAGAATAGAATAGAATAGAATAGAATAGAATAGAATAGAATAAAATAAAATAAGAAGTAATAAGATAAGAAGTAATAAAATAAAATAAAATAAAGTAAAATAAAATAAAATTAAAATAAAATAATATTTAAAATATAATATTTCAGGAAATAATAAAAATAAAAATAAAAATAAAAATAAAAATAAAAATAAAAATACCCACAAAACCAAAACGAAACAAAACAAGAACAATACCACCAAAAAGCGGCTGTTTCTGCCCGGTTTCGAACCGGGGACCTTTCGCGTGTGAGGCGAACGTGATAACCACTACACTACAGAAACGCTCCGTTCAGGTTTTCTTGCCTTTTTTGTGCAACTCTGGGCCCCCAAATTCCCTCGGGCTGTTCCTGAAAATTTCCAAATCCTGGGAGAAAATCTCCCCTCGTGGCTTTGGATTCCTTTATCACTTTTAATTCATTCCCTTTTCGCTTTTCGTTCATTTTTCTTACAATTTTAATTCCTTTATCCCTTTTAATCCCAGCTGCGTTTGTGAAGGGCCTAAATAAATTGCAAAAAGAACCAAAACCCCGCAAAAAGTAGTGCCAAAACCGGTGGATTTTGTCAGATTCTGAACCAGGGAGATTTCACGTGAAATCACGGACATTTGGGGCAGCCTGAGGTTAAAAATTATGATTTTTTAAATGAATTTAGAATTTTTTTCCTGATCAGGAATCAGAGCCACGGCTGTGAAAGTGAAGGATCCTCACCACTAAACCACCAGACAGGACAATTTTAAGATAAATCCTATAGTTTAAATTAATTTTGCTATTTTAATTTAGTATATTTTATCATTTTTATTGTTTTCCTGCTTTTGATTGATTCTCTTATTTTCTTGAATTATTATTTGGGAGGGGGGGGATTTTAAAATTAAATTTAGTTCATTTAAAATTAAATGTTAATGAATTTAAAATTAATTTCGAGTTCTCCATTGTTTCTCCTGGGTTTGATTCTTTCCAGACCACCTGAGGCTGAGGGGGAAGAGCAGATTCGGGGCATTTTGTTGCGTGTAAAAAAAATCGCCGTGAATGGTAAAATTGGGGCTAAAATCAGCTCCCTGGTGGTCTAGTGGTCAGGATTCGGCGCTTTCACCGCTGCGGCCCGGGTTCGATTCCCGGTCAGGGAACGAGGAGTTGAAATTTTCCTTAAAAATCAAACTGAATTCCTCAATTCCAGCCGATTTTGTCACTTTGGAAAGGGAGCGGCCGCTCCAAATCCAAGGAATTTTAAAGCATTTGAGACATTGCTGGGGCAATCATATTCCCAGATTTCCCTGGGAGTGAAATTTTGGAGATATCAGTTTGTCCGCAGGGAAAATATTCATGTATGAATAAATAAACTTTTAAATATAAAGTTTTTAACTTTTCTTTATGTAGAAGCTTTATATTTTTATAAATAAAAGTTTTAAATATTATAAATTTATATACATATCTACATATTTATATAAATATAAAGTTTATATATAAATAAAATAGAAAAATAATATAAACATAGAATTAAAAATAATATAAAATATATAAATAATAATATAATATAATATAATATAATATAATATAATATAATATAATATAATATATAAATATATAAAGTAAAATAAACCAGTTCAGAGTTATAAACACAGATTTTTACCCGCACTCCAGTAAGGGAGTAAAAATTAAACACTTTCGCCGTATAAATACACGTCTTTTTTTTTTTTCCTTTTGCCGTCATGGCCGTGAAGGAATCTGAAAGAAAATTGAGACACGAAAATTGTTTAAAATTAACAATTAAGGTGCTGTTTCTGCCCGGTTTCGAACCGGGGACCTTTCGCGTGTGAGGCGAACGTGATAACCACTACACTACAGAAACGCTCCGTGTTGAACGGCTTGAACCTACCAGCCTCAAAAGTAAAAAAAAACCAGAAACAATATAAAAATAAAATTAAAAAAAAACAATAAAAAAACCCCAAAAAACGAGCACTTTTCCCGCAGAATTTCCAGGCAGAATCTGCGCCGCCCCCAGAGGCCGCGGGGATTTGACCCAGCCCGGAAGTTTCTACAGACGGGTTTGGATCGCCGAGGGGGAATTGGCACAAAGTCCAAGAATTGCCGGGAGGGAGAGGCGTTTTAGAGGCGTTTTTCAGCCTTTTTCACCCCAAAAGGACCCACCCGGCTGCCGAGGGAGTCAAGGGAAAAAAAAGGTGAAATTTTATAATTGGTAAATAAAAGACAGGCGATACAGGGCCCGGCTAGCTCAGTCGGTAGAGCATGAGACTCTTAATCTCAGGGTCGTGGGTTCGAGCCCCACGTTGGGCGCTGCTTCTTTTCCTATTTTCTCCCCTCATCACCTAAATCTGATCTTATTCTTTCTTTCTTTATTGTAGTTTTAAAATTAATAATTTTTCTAAATTATTGTTATTTTAAAAATTATACTTCTTCCCTTACCATTCCCTAATTTTTTTAAATTACAATTTTTAAAAGTTATTACCTCAGGTATTATTATTTCATTCTTCTTCAAGCCATTCCTCCTTTTTGAAATTATTTCCTTATTAAATCCTTTTTGCTTTGTAAACTATTTTTCCTTTTAAAATAGAAATATAATATAATATAATATAATATAATATAATATAATATAATATAATATAATTATAATGTACTATAAATATATTTTTATATATAAAAATATATATTATACTAATATAATTCTGATAATAATAATAGTAATAATAGTTGTCATCATCCTTCCTTTTAAAATTACTAATATTATGCCGGATTTTCCTATTTTTATTCTGTGAGAATAATTGTTCCTTTTAGGAAGCATTATTCAATTTTGAAATCTTTCCCCCTCAACTACTATTCCTTGTTAAATTAATTTTTTTACTTTTAACAACCACTATTATTCTGTTTTTAGTAATTAACTCTTATTAGTATTTTAAAAGCCTACACAAAGCACCAGACCAAAAATAAAAGTAAAATCGAACGCCCCCCCCCCAAAAAAAATTAAAATAAAAAATAAAATAAAATAAAATAAAATAAAATAAAATAAAATAAAATAAAATAAAATAAAATAAAATAAAATAAAATAAAATAAAATAAAATCCGGTTGGCTCTGTTTTGCCGAGAATCTGTGCCGTCAGGATGGCCGAGTGGTCTAAGGCGCCAGACTCAAGGACTTTCCTTCCCTCGGGAATTCTGGTCTCCTCATGGAGGCGTGGGTTCAAATCCCACTCCTGACAGCGCTGGATTTTTTAAAATTATTTAAAAAAAATACCACTTTTTACTCCTATGCTTTCCCTTTTTCAAATTATTATTCCTTCATAAATTATTATTTCCGTTTTTTAAATTGTTACTTACCTTTTAAAATCATTATTCCTATTTTCAAAGCATTAATCTCCTTCTAAAAGTTATTTTTCCTCTCTAAAATTACTATTCCTTTTCCAATTATTATTCCTCTTTTTAAAAGTATTCATCTCCTTTTCTCAAATTATTATTCCGTTTATCAAATGATCGTTCGTTTTTCAATCTTTTCCCCCTTTTCCATATTGTTGCAATTTCTTAAATTTTTGAAATTACTCCCCGTAAATAATCCTAATGAAAAAAAAACCAATTCACCCCTCAATGATGGCCATTAATTAATTTCAGTATTCAACTGCAATTATTTTAGCACAGCTGGTAAACGCCCTTCATATAAACGTCACGAACAAACAGTTCAATTAGCATTATTGTTTTATTATTTATTTATTCATTGCTCGGTAACAGAAGGCGCTGGGGGCAGGAGGAAGGGGGCGAGGCACAAAAAAGAGGAGAAAAAGGGTGTTTGGGGGGTTAGGAGATTATTTAAATATGAATAGATTTTTCCAAAAAATGAACTTTTTTAGCGAAAGTAAAAGGTCATTCCCTGACCGGGAATCGAACCCGGGCCGCGGCGGTGAGAGCGCCGAATCCTAACCACTAGACCACCAGGGAGCTCTGTGAACCGCCCTATCTGTCAAAACACGGCCTAAACAAATAAATTTTGGGTTGAATTTGCTAAAAAAAGTGATTTTGTGTGTTTTCTCTCTTCCTCTTCTCACCCTCAAAACGGTAAAAGCTTCTCCCAACCCCCGAACCAACATTCCTCTGAATTCTCCTTGCAGAAAAGTGGAGATGATGGAAATTATGGAGAAAATTAGAGAGAAACGAGGGAGAAAATCATCGAGAAAATCATCGAGAAAGTAATGGAGAAATTACAGAGAAATGATGGAGAAAATTAGCGAGAAATTATGGAGAAATTATGGACAAAATCATCGAGAAAATTATTGAGAAATTAGCGAGAAAATTATCGAGAAATTATGGAGAAAATAATGGAGAAAATAATGGAGGAATTATGGAGAAATTATGGAGAAAATCATCGAGAAAATTATCAAGAAAATAATGGAGGAGTTATGGAGAAATTATGGACAAAATTATCGAGAAAATTATCGAGAAATTATGGAGAAAATAATGGAGAACATTATCGAGAAATTATGGAGAAATTATGGAGAAATGATGGAGGAAATTATGAAGAAATTATGGGGAAAATAATGGAGAAATTATGGAGAAAATAATGGAGAAATTATGGAGAAAATAATGGAGAAAATTATCAAGAAATGATGGAAATGATGGAAAAATTATGGAGGAATGATGGAGAAATGATCGAGAAATTAAGGAAATGATGGACAAATGATGGAGAAACGATGGAAACGATGAAGAAATGACGGACAAACAATAGAAAAAATGCAGTTTCCCACCCGAACCCCCACCCATCTGAGTGCCCCAGCTCGGGGGCTCAGGGGCACAGCCTGAAGCAGCACCCCCTGCCCAGGCAGAGCAGGGGCAGCAGCTCCTCGCCCCCAAACCTCGCCGCGGGGTACGCGAACATCGGCACCTCCCTCCGCACGTCAAAAAACGCCACGCGCCCGCCCTCGCAGTCCAGGTAGACCCCGACCGCCTCGGGGGCCTCGGGGAGGGAAATGGGGACGCTGGGCGAGGCCAGAGCCTGGCACTGGCTGCCGCACCGCCCCACGGCCCAGATCCCCCGCTCGGGCCTGACGCTGACCCGGCCCTTCCTGGCCACGGACGCCCTGGCGACGCCCAGGGCCCAGGCCGAGCCCTGGCACACCTGAACCTCCCAGTAGTGGCGGCCACAGGTGAAGCCCTCGCGGGCCAGCACGCAGCGGGAGGAGTCGAAGCGTTTGGGGTGGTCGGGGATGTTCCTGCGGGCGTCGTCCCAGCGGACGCATTTCCCGTCCTCGCTCAGGGCCAGGCGCGGGTGGGCGGTGTCGGGGTCCAGCGTCAGGGTGACTGCAGAGGGAGCGAGGCAGGGTTGGGGGTCTGGCCCCTCGAGAGGTTTGGGGTGGGTTTGTGCCACTTTTCCCCACCTGGGAGGCTCCAGGTGTGGTTTGATGACCACACGTGGGATTGGGTTAGGCTTAGGCTTAGATTTAGGCTTAGGGTTAGGGCAGAAAAGCCAGCATGGGGAGAAAATGATGGAGAAAATGATCGAGAAGTGATGGAGAAAAGATGGAGAAATTATGGAGAAATTATTGAGAAAATAACGGAGAAAGTGATGGAGAAAATGATCGAGAAATGATGGAGAAATGACGGAGAAATGATGGAGAAAATAACGGAGAAAGTGATGGAGAAAATGATCGAGAAATTATTGAGAAAACCATTGAGAAAATAATGGAGAAATGATGGAGAAAATAACGGAGAAAGTGATGGAGAAAATGATCGAGAAATGATGGAGAAACAATGGAGAAATTATAGAGAAAATAATGGAGAAATTATGGGAGAAAATAACGGAGAAAGTGATGGAGAAAATGATCGAGAAATTATTGAGAAAACCATTGAGAAATGATGGAGAAAATAATGGAGACATTATAGAGAAATTACGGGAGAAAATGATTGGGAAATGATGGAGGAAATGACGGTGGAAATGATGGAGAAAATATGGAGAAAATTATCGAAAAATAATGGAGAAAATGATGGAGAAAATGATGGAGAAATTATGGGAAAATTATGGGAAAATTATGGAGAAATTATGGGAAAATGATGGAGAAACTATGGGAAAATGAGGCTCTGGAGTGTGGGGGTTTTGCTGCTCATTTGGGGGCATCTTGGGGGCTTTCCTTTCCGAAGTTTCCACGTGGAATTTTCTGGAATTTCCGCCTTTTGAGGGGTGATTTCCAAAGGTGGTACTGGCACAGAGCCCGCCCCCCTTTCCCTGGTCCCTGCCTACCTTGGAATTTCCTCAGCATCTCCTTGAGGGTGAGATTTTCCTGGGGCAGCCCTGTGGGTTCCTCTGCCGGCTCCGCCGAGGTCTCCACCGGCTCTGGGGCACTCTCCTTCTCCAGCCTGGAAACCGGGAAAAGAATTTTTCCACAAAAATTCGGAGTGGTGGGGCTGGAGAAGCAGCTGGGAAGGCTTGAAAGGCCCCTTCCGGCCCAAACCACCCCAAATTTCCACCATTTCACAACTCCTTTCCCGTCAGGTTTTTGGCATCTCCAGGAGGTTTTTGGGATCTGCTCCTCCTGGAGAACATTTTCTGACCCAGCCACGGCTGGTGAAACTCCGGATGGGGAAGATTTTTTACCAGCGGGAATTGGGGAATAAAAACAACTTTCCTTCTCCAATTTCCTCCTTCCCACCCCGTCAGTGTGAAGGGGACACAACCAGATCTGCTAAAAGGGTGTAAAATTCTAACTCCCAAAATTCCGACTCCCAAAATCCCAGCTCCCAAAATTCCAACTCCCAAAATTCCAACTCCCAAAATTCCGACTCCCAAAATTCCGACTCCCAAAATTCCAACTCCCAAAATTCCAACTCCCAAAATCCCAGCTCCCAAAATTCCAACTCCCAAAATTCCAACTCCCAAAATTCCGACTCCCAGAATTCCAACTCCCAAAATTCCAACTCCCAGAATTCCGATTCCCAAAATTCCAACTCCCAAAATTCCGATTCCCAAAATTCCAACTCCCAAAATTCTGACTCCCAAAATTCCAGCTCCCAAAATTCCAACTCCCAAAATTCCGATTCCCAAAATTCCGACTCCCAGAATTCCAACTCCCAAAATTCCAGCTCCCAAAATTCCGACTCCCAAAATTCCGATTCCCAAAATTCCGATTCCCAAAATTCCAACTCCCAAAATTCCAACTCCCAAAATTCCAGCTCCCAAAATTCCAACTCCCAAAATTCTAATTCCCAGAATTCCAACTCCCAAAATTCCAACTCCCAAAATTCCGATTCCCAGAATTCCAACGCCCAAAATTCCGATTCTCTCGGAATTTAACTCCTTTTAGCCGCTGTTTTTGAGGAGGAAACCCCCGTCCCTCCAGGGGCAGGGAGGGTTTTTCACGGGTCAGAGCGCGGCCGCAGCAGCGCTGGAGGCTCCTCCGCCCCTCCGGAGGCTCCTGACCCCGGGGTCTCCGCCATCCACAACGGGAACTTTTGTGGCGTCCCGGCCACGTCCCGCGCCCACCTCACCGCGGGCCAGGCGGTGCTGGGGCCTTTGGGGTCCCACCAGCCACACGAGAACGCGCCAGGAACGCAGGCGAGGAGCCACGAACCTGCTCAGGATGTCTCTGCTGTCCTGCAGGGGAGAGACGGACGGACGGACGGACGGACAGACGGACGGACAGACGGACAGACAGACGGATGGACAGGTCAGGGCAGGGCAGAGCCAGCCTGGGGTGAGCACCCAGGGGTGACCCTGGGGGGATTCCGGATCTGCGGGAATTCAGGCGGCCTCGATGAGCGGTTGGGTTATCGGCACCATCGCCCCGCCCGGGGTGGGCGTGGCGGCTGCTAATTAGCATATCCGCTCATTTGAATGTTTGGCTGTTTGAATATATGAGTGCTTGGATGTTTGGATGTTTGGCTGTTTGAATATATGAGTGCTTGGATGTTGTTTGGATGTTTGGATGTTTGGCTGTTTGAATATACGGGTGCTTGGATGTTGTTTGGATGTTTGGCTGTTTAAATGTTTGGGTGTTTGAATGATTGGATGTGTTTAAATACTTGGATGTTTGAAAGTTTGTTCGTTTGAATGTTTGGCTGTTTGAAAATTTGGATACTTGAAGATACGGGTGTTTGGATGTTTGGCTGTTTGGATATTTGAAAATTTGGGTGTTTGAATGTTTGGCTGTTTCGATGTTTGGGTGTCTAAATATTCGGATATTTGAATGTTTGGATATTTGAAATTTTGGCTGTTTAAATGTTTGGCTGTTTGGATATTTGGCTGTTTAAATGTTTGGCTGTTTGGCTGTTTGAATATTGCAACATTTGAATGTTTGAATTTTTTTATATTTGATTATTTAATTTTCAATTAACTGCTTTGGTGGCAACCTCCAGACCAGGCATTGCTGGGGGAGGTGAGCTGGGCCCTGGGGGTCATCCATGACATCCCAGCGCTGGGGTGACTTTGTGGGCATTAAATGGAATAATTCAGGTGGAAAAAATGAGTTTAAAAGGATTTTTTTATATCTCCAGGTTGGAGAAGCACAGCCCAGGGGAAGGCGTCTTTGCCGTGGCTCTGTGAGGCCGCTTCCCGCCCAAACCCGGGATTCTGTCCGGCATTTGAGGCCCCTTCCTGCCCAAATCAGTTCGGGATTTGTTTTTCTGGCCTCACCTGCAGCAGCTCCCAGGGCGGCTGCCGGCACTTCTCCTCCAGCTGCTGGATCTGCCGCCCCAGGCCGGAGATCTGCTCCGAGAGCCGGCCCGCGCTCTCCTCCTGCCTCCGCGCGATGTCCCGCGCCAGCCGCGCCAGCCGCGCCAGGAGGAGCCGCTCCTGCCCCTCCAGGAGCTGCCGCAGCTCCCGCACCCGGCACCGCAGCCGCTGCCGCTCCGCCTCCACCCGCTCCTGCCACGGGAACACCGGGAGCGGCTGGGACCGGGCGGGAAACGGCAGCGGGGTGGGCGGGAGGGGCGTTTGACACCGCCAGGGCTCGCGCAAAGCCCGGGGACTATCCACGGAATTCGTAATTTTTTTTTTTAATTTAAAAAAAAATTATATTTCAAATATATAAATATATAAATATATAAATATATTAATATATTAATATATTCATATATTTATATATATAATATATATAAATATATAATATATAATATATAATATATAATATATAATATATTATATACAATATGTAATATATAATATGTAATATATAATATATAAATATATAAATATAGAATATACAAATATATGTATATATAAATATATACATATATAATATATAAATATAGTTAATATAAATATTTATATAATATATTAAAATATACATTATATATTTTATATATTATATATAATATAATATATTATATGTTATATATTATATATAATATAATTTTAATATATGTTATATATTTTTATACATTATATATTATATATATTATATATATTATATATTATATATTATATATTATATATTATATATTATATATATATTATTATATATTTTTAATATATATATGTGTGTGTTTTCGGCGGTTTTTTGGGGGTTTTTTTGGGCGGGGGGTGTTGCCATTTCTAGGCGGCGATCGCTGGCAAAGCGTTTTCCCATGGCCCGTAAACTTTGCACCCGAAAAAGGCTCCGGACCTTTGGACGAGGGAAGGTGCAAAATAAACCCATAAAGAGATTAGTCATTGTTAGAGGTCAGGGAAAGGGAAAACAGGGAAAAAAAAATAAAAACAAAAAAGAAAGATGCGATTGGGGCGATTCCCGTTTTTCTGGGGAATCTGGGGATGTGCCCCACTTGTGAGCACATGGAAGGAGGCGAAAATCCTGGGAAAAAATCCAGGTTTGGGTTGGATATCACATGGAGGAATTTCCTCGCCGTGAGGGCGGTGGCGGGCACGGGCAGCCCAGGTGTGCCCAGGTGTGCCCAGGTGTGCCCAGGTGTGCCCAGGTGTGCCCAGGTGTGCCCCAGGTGTGCCCAGGTGCGCCCAGGTGTGCCCAGGCGCGCCCAGGCGTGCCCAGGTGTGCTCAGGTGCGCCCAGGTGTGCCCAGGTGTGCCCAGGTGTGCCCAGGTGCGCCCAGGTGCGCCCAGGTGCGCCCGCAGGGACAAGGGAAGCGTCACCCACCAGCAGCTCCGAGCTCTTCCCTTCCTCCGCCGCTTTCAGCCCCAGCATCTTCTCTCTCCTGTCCCTGAGGATCTGCGCGTGAGCCTGGAGTTTCTCCTGAGCGGGGGAGAAGCGCCAGCACCGGCTCGGAGCCTCTTTCTCCGCCCGGTGATGCCGGGAGCGCGGGTCGGGCGGGCCCGGGCGCGGCTGTGGCCCAGCGGGCGGAAAGCGCGGAAAACCCGGACTTTTCCAAGGAAAACCGCGCTCCCCCGGCCTCCCTCTCCTCCCTCATCCCCAGGAGCGCCCGCACCTCTCCCACCTTGTGCTCCTGCGCCGCTTCCTCGATGGGGACGGCGGCGTGCAGCCGGTGCTCCGGGGAGCGGCGGCACTCGCGGCACACGGGGCTCTGCTCCTCCTCGCAGAACAGCTTCAGAGCCTCGCCGTGCTTCGGGCAGAGCCTCTCCCCGCGCCGGGCTCGGCCCCTGAGGCTGAGGCGCTGCGCGATGCGGATGATGCCGGCCAGCTCCGCGTTGGGCCTCAGGCTGCGCTCCGGGGCCGCCTCCCGGCAGCGCGGGCACGGGAAGCTGTCCCGGGAGCTCCGCCAGCAGCGCTCGATGCACGCCCGGCAGAAGTTGTGGCCGCAGTGGATGGACACGGGCTCCTGGAAGAGCCCGAGGCACAGCGGGCACGAGGCTTCGGCGCGGAGCTCGGCCATGGCCGGCACCGGACCGGGTCCGCCTCGGGTCCGCCGCGGTTCGGCCTCGGTGCCGCCTCGGGTCCGCCTCGGTTCCGCCTCGGGTCCGCCGCGGTTCCGCCTCGGGTCCGCCTCGGGTCCGCCGCGGTTCCGCCTCGGGTCCGCCTCGGGTCCGCCTCGGTTCGGCCTCGGTGCCGCCGCGGTTCGGCCTCGGGTCCGCCTCGGTTCGGCCTCGGTTCGGCCTCGGTTCGGCCGCGGTTCCGCCTCGGGTCCGCCTCTGTTCGGCCTCGGGTCCGCCTCGGTTCCGCCGCGGTTCCGCCTCGGGTCCGCCTCGGTTCCGCCGCGGTTCCGCCTCCCCCGGGGCCGCGGCGGCTCCGCTTCCTGCCGGTGCTGCGGGCACAGAGCGAGAGCGGAGAGCGGAGCCGAGATGAGCCGGGCTCGGCGCCGGGCGTGGCCCGGGGCGGTTTGGCACTGGGGCTGATACCGGGCTTAGCACCGGGCTTGGCACTGGGGCTAATACCGGGCTTGGCACCGGGCTTGGCACTGGGGCTAATACCGGGTTTGACACCAGCTTCATTCATCATTGACCGGCTTGGCTGGAATCCACCCCCAGCCCCTTTTTCACTCCTTTTTCCCCCAAAAATCACCCAGGGAAAGAGAGAGGCTGCCCCAGGCCTCCCCTCGAGGTCTGAACCAGGCACCAGCCTGGTTTCGCTGCTTTCAATGTATTTGTTTTAAATTTACTCATTGATAAATTTAATTTACACACGTGTTTAATTCATTGAGTCGCTCCTTGTTCATTAATTGACGGGCACGGCGTGGGGACAGAGCTCGGAGCAATTCTTGGCTCACCCTTTTCTGCTCATTCCCCATTTTTCAGCATCCCTAAATTATTCCCAACTCCAACCCCAGCCCCACGCCTACGTGTGCAGCTACCAGCGCTTTTATTCAAAAATAATTTTATTGTTCCTTTCACTTCTCCTTTTACACAGGAAATCGCTTCTCTCACGGCTCGGGGCTGACCACAGACCTTCCTATTTTTAACTTTATTTTTGACTTTCCTTTTTGTCCAAGAGCCCCCCCGGACAAGTGCAGAAGCCACCGGAAACTCGGGGCTGCTACCGAAGTGATGATTTTCATTTTTTCTTTTTTTTTTTTTATTTTTTTACACCTTTTTTTTTGCCTTTTTTTTTTTTTTGAGGACATCGGTCAAAAACTCACCCACCGTTAATTCTGTGAGAGAGTTTTTTGGGGGTTCTGGGTTTTCCGGTGCTCGGAACACTCAGACTGAAAACTGGGGGGGCGGCTGGGTGCTGAAAACACTTTTTTTTTTTACTTTTTTTTTTTCTTTTTTTGTTAATTTGGGGCTAAGGTTGATTTAAGGTTGATTTATTGGGGAGTGAGCCGATCAGGATCCCCTTTCCCTCCTCGATTATCCGTGTAATTGGTGATTATCCGGGTGCGATCACCGTGAATTCTTGGGCTCAAGAAGGAGCTGGAGGCTCGGGTTTAACCTTTTGGCACAGAGGGATTTGCTCAGTGCCGGAAATAAAATAAAAATCCAAGGAAAATAAAATCACCAATCCGAGTTTTTCTGCAGGATTTTGATCAATTTCTTCAAGGTGCGGGTGGGTCCAGGAATGGGAGCAACCTGCCGCCTTTTCTCGCCGTTTCAGGGGAAAATGTACCTCGATAAAAATGTCTTAAAATCTAAATTTTAATTTAAAAAGAAATAATCCAAGGACAAGGGTGGGAGGTTCCAGCCTGATGGATGCGGGTCCCTCCATCCCCAGCCCCAGGATTTTGGGGTAAATCGGGAGGATTTTGGCCACCTCCCACCCTCCATCCCCAGCCCCACCGGGGGCAGAATTTTGGGGTAAATCAGGAGGATTTTGGCCACCTCCCACCCTCCATCCCCAGCCCCAGAATTTTGGGGTAAATCAGGAGGATTTTGGCCGCCTCCCACCCTCCATCCTCAGCCCCACCGGGGGCAGAATTTTGGGGTAAATCAGGGGGATTTTGGCCACCTCCCACCCTCCATCCCCAGTCCCAACGGGGCAGGATTTTGGGGTAAATCAGGAGGATTTTGGCCACCTCCCACCCTCCATCCCCAGCCCGACCGGGGGCAGGATTTTGGGGTAAATCAGGAGGATTTTGGCCGCCTCCCACCCTCCATCCCCAGCCCCACCAGGGGCAGAATTTTGGGGTCAATCAGGAGGATTTTGGCCACCTCCCACCCTCCATCCCCAGCCCCACCGGGGGCAGAATTTTGGGGTAAATCGGGAGGATTTTGGCCACCTCCCACCCTCCATCCCCAGCCCCAGGATTTTGGGGTAAATCAGGAGGATTTTGGGCACCTCCCACCCTCCATCCCCAGCCCCAGGATTTTGGGGTAAATCAGGAGGATTTTGGCCACCTCCCACCCTCCATCCCCAGCCCCAGAATTTTGGGGTAAATCAGGAGGATTTTGGCCACCTCCCACCCTCCATCCCCAGCCCCAGAATTTTGGGGTCAATCAGGAGGATTTTGGGCACCTCCCACCCTCCATCCCCAGCCCCAGGATTTTGGGGTAAATCAGGAGGATTTTGGCCACCTCCCACCTTCCATCCCCAGCCCCAACGGGGGCAGAATTTTGGGGTAAATCAGGAGGATTTTGGCCACCTCCCACCCTCCATCCCCAGCCCCACCGGGGGCAGGAAGGCGACGCCTCCGCCGGCGCGGGGGGAACCGAAAGCGGCGGCGGCTCCGGCGGCCCCGGGCAGCGCCATGGAGGAGCTGCCGGGCGAAGCCTCCTGCCCCATCTGCGGCGAATATTTCCGCGAGCCCGTGTCCATCCACTGCGGCCACCACTTCTGCCGGGGCTGCATCGAGCGCTGCTGGGAGTGGCCCACGGCGGGGTTCGCCTGCCCGCGCTGCCGGGACACGGCCCCGCAGCGGAGCCTCCGCCCGAGCCGGGAGCTGGAGCGGGTGCTGGAGCTCGCCCGGCGCCTGAGCCGCGGGGAAGCGCTGGGGACCGAGGATGAGGATGGGGATGAGGAGGGGGAAATGTGCCAGAGGCACCGGGAGCCGCTGGAGCTCTTCTGCAAGGAGGACGGGGCGCTGCTGTGCGCGATCTGCCGCGAGTCGCGGGCGCACCGGGCACACGCGGTGCTGCCGCTGCCGGAGGCCGCGCGGGACTTCGAGGTAATTTCGCTTCCCACCCAAAAATGCCGCCCCCGGAGCCTTGAAGGGACCGGGACACGCTCGGCGGCCTCTGCTCTCTCTGCTCTCCGCCGAGCCTGGAGCGGTCGGGGTCTTCATCCAATTCGCGCTCCTCATCCTCCTCCCTGCCGCGGAATCCCGGCCGCTGTGCGGCTCCAGCGCCCGGCGGGCACCAAACCTCTAAATCTGCAGGAATGAGGGCAAAAAGAGCGGGACGATTTTCATGGAGCCCATCCCTAAATCTGCAGGAATGTGGGCAAAAAGAGCGGGATGATTTTCCCGGAGCCCAAATCCTCAGATCTGCCGAAATGTGGGCAAAAAGAGCGGGATTTTTTCCAAGGAGCCCACCCCTAAATCTGCAGGAATGCGGGCAAAAAGAGCGGGACGATTTTCCCGGAGCCCAAATCCTCAGATCTGCAGGAATATGGGCAAAAAAGAGCGGGACGATTTTCCTGGAGCCCACCCTTAAATCTGCCGGAATGAGGGCAAAAAGAGCGGGACGATTTTCATGGAGCCCAAATCCTCAAATCTGCAGGAATGTGGGCAAAAAAGAGCGGGATTTTTTTTTCCCGGAGCCCATCCCTAAATCTGCAGGAATGCGGGCAAAAAGAGCGGGATTTTTTTTCATGGAGCCCATCCCTAAATCTGCAGGAATATGGGCAAAAAGAGCGGGATGATTTTCATGGAGCCCATCCCTAAATCTGCAGGAATATGGGCAAAAAGAGCGGGATGATTTTCATGGAGCCCACCCCTAAATCTGCAGGAATGAGGGCAAAAAGAGCGGGACGATTTTCATGGAGCCCACCCCTAAATCTGCAGGAATGTGGGCAAAAAGAGCGGGATGATTTTCATGGAGCCCAAATCCTCAAATCTGCAGGAATGAGGGCAAAAAGAGCGGGATTTTTTTTTCCCGGAGCCCATCCCTAAATCTGCAGGAATGCGGGCAAAAAGAGCGGGATGATTTTCATGGAGCCCATCCCTAAATCTGCAGGAATGCGGGCAAAAAGAGCGGGATGATTTTCATGGAGCCCATCCCTAAATCTGCCAGAATGCGGGCAAAAAGAGCGGGATTTTTTCCAAGGAGCCCACCCCTAAATCTGCAGGAATATGGGCAAAAAAAGAGCGGGATGATTTTCCCGGAGCCCAAATCCTCAAATCTGCCGGAATGCGGGCAAAAAGAGTGGGATGATTTTCATGGAGCCCATCCCTAAATCTGCAGGAATGTGGGCAAAAATAGTAGGATTTTTTTCATGGAGCCCACCCCTAAATCTGCCGGAATGCGGGCAAAAAGAGCGGGATGATTTTCATGGAGCCCATCCCTAAATCTGCCGGAATGCGGGCAAAAAGAGCGGGATGATTTTCATGGAGCCCATCCCTAAATCTGCAGGAATGCGGCCAAAAAGAGCGGGATGATTTTCCCGGAGCCCAAATCCTCAAATCTGCAGGAATATGGGCAAAAAGAGCGGGATTTTTTTCATGGAGCCCAAATCCTCAAATCTGCAGGAATGTGGGCAAAAAGAGCGGGAATTTTTTTAATGGAGCCCATCCCTAAATCTGCCGAAATGCGGGCAAAAAGAGCGGGATGATTTTCATGGAGCCCAAATCCTCAGATCTGCAGGAATGCAGGCAAAAAGAGCGGGACGATTTTCATGGAGCCCATCCCTAAACATGCAGGAATATGGGCAAAAAAGAGCGGGACGATTTTCCCGGAGCCCAAATCCTCAAATCTGCAGGAATGCGGGCAAAAAGAGCGGGATTTTTTTCATGGAGCTCATCCCTAAATCTGCAGGAATGCGGGCAAAAAGAGCGGGATGATTTTCATGGAGCTCATCCCTAAATCTGCAGGAATGCGGGCAAAAAGAGCGGGATGATTTTCATGGAGCCCATCCCTAAATCTGCAGGAATGTGGCCAAAAATAGTAGGATTTTTTTCCTGGAGCCCACCTCTAAATCTGCAGGAATGAGGGCAAAAAAAGAGCGGGATGATTTTCATGGAGCCCACCCCTAAATCTGCAGGAATGCGGGCAAAAAGAGCAGGATTTTTTTCATGGAGCCCATCCCTAAATCTGCAGGAATGAGGGCAAAAAGAGCGGGACGATTTTCATGGAGAACATCCCTAAATCTGCAGGAATGAGGGCAAAAAAGAGCGGGATGATTTTCATGGAGCCCACCCCTAAATCTGCAGGAATGTGGGCAAAAAGAGCGGGATGATTTTCATGGAGCCCAAATCCTCAAATCTGCAGGAATGAGGGCAAAAAGAGCGGAATTTTTTTCATGGAGCCCAAATCCTCAAATCTGCAGGAATATGGGCAAAAAGAGCGGAATTTTTTTCATGGATCCCAGATCCCCAAATCTGCCGGAATGTGGGCAAAAAGAGCGGGACGATTTTCCCGGAGCCCAAATCCTCAAATCTGCAGGAATGAGGGCAAAAAGAGCGGGATGATTTTCATGGAGCTCACCCCTAAATCTGCAGGAATGTGGGCAAAAAGAGCGGGATGATTTTCATGGAGCCCATCCCTAAATCTGCAGGAATGTGGGCAAAAAGAGCGGGATTTTTTCCAAGGAGCCCACCCCTAAATCTGCAGGAATATGGGCAAAAAGAGCGGGATTTTTTTCATGGAGCCCATCCCTAAATCTGCCGGAATGTGGGCAAAAAAGAGCGGGATTTTTTTCATGGAGCCCATCCCTAAATCTGCCGGAATATGGGCAAAAAGAGCGGGACTATTTTCATGGAGCCCAAATCCTCAAATCTGCAGGAATATGGGCAAAAAGAGCGGGATTTTTTTTCATGGAGCCCAAATCCTCAAATCTGCAGGAATATGGGCAAAAAGAGCAGGATTTTTTTCATGGAGCCCATCCCTAAATCTGCCGAAATGCGGGCAAAAAGAGCGGGATGATTTTCCCGGAGCCCAAACCCCTAAATCTGCAGGAATGTGGGCAAAAAGAGCGGGACGATTTTCATGGAGCTCATCCCTAAATCTGCAGGAATGCGGGCAAAAAGAGCGGGATGATTTTCATGGAGCCCATCCCTAAATCTGCAGGAATATGGGCAAAAAGAGCGGGATTTTTTTTTTCATGGAGCAGGGAGGACAAACGGAGCTGCCCACGCTCTGGCCCCTGCGCAGAGCGAGGTTTTGAAGCCGTCCCAGTCCCCAGAAAATTTGGATTTTCGTTTTTCCTTCCCTCAGGAGCAAATCCAGGCCGAGCTGCAAACCCTGGAGGACGAGAGGGACAAACTCCTGGAGCTGCGGGAGGCTGAAATGAGGAGGATCTGGGAGTGTTTGGTAAATGGAGCGGAGGGGGTGATTTATTAAAAATACGGATATTGATCTAGTGCCCATAGCCAAGCGTGATGGACAAAAACTATGAGAGTTCAAAGTTAGAAAGTTTATTTAGAATTTAGTTAGAATGTTTATTTCAGGACGGTTCTCAAATGCACACCGCAATTTACAGATTTTTACAGAGTCCTTTTATCTACACAAGTATTGAATGCCCAAAATACAAATTCATACTCATAACTTTGGTACAAAATCCCAGTCCCCGCTTCGTATGGTAATTAGTTCAAAAGCTAATTAAGCACGCGCAGTTCGTTCCTCAAAATGAGTCGGGGGTCCCTTTCATGGGCAGGGGGTCCCAAAACGAGGAAATAAATGGAGCCTTCCTCGTTCTGACCTTTCTACATTTTCAATGAAAATAAGACAAAGGAACCCATTGGTAGAGCTCCCATTCCCCATCTTTAATTGTTTTCACAACAGAGGAGGCCACAATTGTCTTTTGCTCCTAAAAACAATTGTCTTACGTTCCTAAAAACAATTGTCTTACGTTCCTAAAAACGATTGGTTTATGTTCCTAAAAACGATTGTTTTATGTTCCTAAAAACAATTGGTTTATGTTCCTAAAAACGATTGGTTTATGTTCCTAAAAACGATTGGTTTATGTTCCTAAAAACAATTGTTTTATGTTCCTAAAAACGATTGGTTTACGTTCCTAAAAACAATTGTCTTACGTTCCTAAAAACAATTGTTTTACGTTCCTAAGAACGATTGGTTTATGTTCCTAAAAACAATTGTCTTACGTTCCTAAAAATTGTTTTATGTTCCTCAAAGCCATTTATCAGTTTCTGTATTCTTCATTATAAGAAGAATATAGATAATATATTATCTATATTCTTCTTATATATAATATATATATTATATATATAATATAATATATTCTTAATTATAGAAGAATATATAACAATATACTCTTCATTATTAGAAGAATGTATAACAATATATTCTTCATTATAGAGGAATATATAACAATATACTCTTCATTACAGAGGAATATATAACAATATACTCTTCATTATAGAAGAATATATAACAATTTATTCTTCATTATAGAAGAATATATATTCTTCATTATAGAAGAATATATAACAATATACTCTTCATTATAGAAGAATATATAACAATATACTCTTCATTATAGAAGAATATTTAACAATATACTCTTCATTATAAGAATATATAACAATATGCTCTTCATTATAGAAGAATGTATAACACTGCGTTGACAAGCAATCAATTATTAATTAGCCACTAACTCTTAGCTCCATCAGGGCTAATTAACTCCAGCAAATCTTATCTCGAACCCAAACCTCAGCTCCTGTAAAATCCCCAAACCTTCACAATTCCCGTCTCGGGGGCGTCTCCCGGTGGGTTTAGAGCGGGCGAGGCCGTTCCTGGCTCTGGGGTCTCTCTGCAGGGAGGGCTTGGACCGAAAATCCCAAACCCCAAATCCCAAACCCCAAATCCCAAACCCAAACCCCAAACCCCAAACCCCAAACCCCAAACCCCAAACCCCAAACCCCAAACCCCAAACCCAAATCCCAAACCCCAAACCCCAACCCCAAATCCCAAACCCCAAACCCCAAACCCCAAATCCCAAACCCCAACTCCCAAACCCCAAACCCCAATCCCCAAACCCCAAACCCCAAACCCCAAATCCCCAAACCCCAAATCCCAACCCCAATCCCCAAACCCCAAACCCCAATCCCCAATCCCCAATCCCCAAACCCCAATCCCCAAACCCCAATCCCCAAACCCCAAACCCCAAACCCCAAACCCCAATCCCCAAACCCCAATCCCCAACTCCCAATCCCCAATCCCCAACTCCCAAACCCCAAACCCCAAACCCCAAACCCCAAACCCCAAACCCCAAACCCCAAACCCCAAATCCCCAAACCCCAAACCCCAAATCCCCAAACCCCAAACCCCAAATCCCAAACCCCAAATCCCAAACCCCAACCCCAAATCCCAATCCCCAACTCCCAAACCCCAAATCCCCAAACCCCAAATCCCAACCCCAAATCCCCAAATCCCCAAACCCCAACATCCCAAACCCCAAACCCCAAACCCCAAACCCCAAACCCCAAATCCCAACCCCAAACCCCAAACCCCAAATCCCAACCCCAAACCCCAAACCCCAAATCCCAAACCCCAACTCCCAAACCCCAAATCCCCAAACCCCAATCCCCAAATCCCAAATCCCCAAATCCCCAAACCCCAACATCCCAAACCCCAAACCCCAAACCCCAAACCCCAAACCCCAAACTCCCAAATCCCAAACCCCAAACCCCAAATCCCAAACCCCAAATCCCAAACCCCAAATCCCCAAACCCCAAACCCAAATCCCAACCCCAAACCCCAAACCCCAAACCCCAAACCCAAATTCCAACCCCAAATCCCAAATCCCCAAATCCCAAATCCCAACCCCAAACCCAAATCCCCAAATCCCAATCCCAATCCCCAAATCCCAAACCCCAAACCCCAAACCCCAAATCCCCAAACCCCAAATCCCCAAACCCCAAACCCAATCCCCAAACCCCAAACCCCAAATCCCAAACCCCAAACCCCAATCCCCAAATCCCAACCCCAAACCCCAAATCCCCAAACCCCAATCCCAAACCCCAAATCCCAATCCCCAAACCCCAAATCCCAATCCCAATCCCAAATCCCAAATCCCAAACCCCAACCCCAAATCCCCAAATCCCAATCCCCAAATCCCAAACCCCAAATCCCAACCCCAAACCCCAAACCCCAAACCCCAAATCCCAATCCCAAACCCCAATCCCCAATCCCCAAACCCCAAATCCCCAAACCCCAAACCCCAAATCCCCAACTCCCAAACCCCAAACCCCAAACCCCAAACCCCAATCCCCAAACCCCAAACCCCAAATCCCCAAACCCCAAACCCCAAATCCCAAACCCCAATCCCCAACCCCAAACCCCAAACCCCAACCCCAAATCCCCAAACCCCAATCCCCAAACCCCAAATCCCCAATCCCCAAATCCCAAACCCCCAAATCCCCAAATCCCAAACCCCAAATCCCCAAACCCAAACCCCAATCCCCAAACCCCAAATCCCAACCCCAATCCCCAACCCCCGCAGGAGCAGACGGCGGCCGAGCGGCGGCGGATCCAGTGCCGGTTCCGGGGGCTGCGCCTGGCCCTGGAGGAGCTGCCCCGGCGCCTCCTGGCGCGGCTGCGGCGCCTGGAGAGCGACATCGGCGGCGCGCAGGAGGAGCGGGCGGCGCTGCTGACCCGGGAGATCTCGCGGCTGGAGCTGCGCGCCCGGGAGCTGCGGGAGCGGCCGCGGAGCCCCGCACGGACCTTCCTGCAGGTGACGGAGGGGCCGGACACCCCAGGAGAGGGGGAAAGGGCCTTGGGAAAGGGAAAAAGTGCCCGAGAAAAGGGAAAAAGTGCCTTGGGAAAGGGAAAAAGTGCCCTGGGAAAGGGGGAAAGTGCCTTGGGAAAGGGGAAAAAATCTCCTAGAAAAGGCAAAAAGTCCCTTGGAAAAGGGAAAAAGTGCCTTAGAAAAGGGAAAAAGTCCCCGAGAAAAGGGAAAAAGTGCCTTGGGAAAGGGAAAAAGTGCCCTGGGAAAGGGAAAAAGTGCCTGAGAAAAGTCTCTTAGAAAAGGCAAAAAGTCTCCTAGAAAAGTGTCTTAGAAAAGGCAAAAAGTCTCCTAGAAAAGTCTCTTAGAAAAGGCAAAAAGTCCCTTGGAAAAGGGAAAAAGTCCCTGAGAAAAGGCATAAAGTCCCTTGGGAAAGGGAAAAAGTCCCTGAGAAAAGGGAAAAAGTCCCTGAGAAAAGGGAAAAGGTCCCCGAGAAAAGGCAAAAAGTCCCTGAGAAAAGTCTCTTAGAAAAGGCAAAAAGTCTCTTAGAAAAGTCCCTTAGAAAAGGGAAAAAGTCCCTTGGAAAAGGGAAAAAGTGCCTTGGGAAAGTCTCTTAGAAAAGGCAAAAAGTCTCCTAGAAAAGTCTCTTAGAAAAGGCAAAAAGTCCCTGAGAAAAGGCAAAAAGTGCCTTGGGAAAGGGGAAAAGTGCCTTGGGAAAGGGAAAAGGTCCCTTAGGAAGGGCAAAAAGTGCCTTAGAAAAGGGAAAAAGTCTCTTAGAAAAGGCAAAAAGTGCCTTAGGAAAGGGTAAAAGTGCCTTGGGAAAGGGAAAAAGTCCCCGAGAAAAGGCAAGAAGTCCCTTAGAAAAGTCGGAAAGTCTCCTAGAAAAGTCTCTTAGAAAAGGGCAAAAAGTGCCCTGGGAAAGGGAAAAAGTGCCTTGGGAAAGGGGAAAGTGCCCTGGGAAAGGGGGAAAAGTCTCCTAGAAAAGTCTCTTAGAAAAGTCGGAAAGTCTCCTAGAAAAGGCAAAAAGTCCCTTAGGAAAGGGAAAAAGTGCCTGAGAAAAGGCAAAAAGTCCCTTAGAAAAGTCTCTTAGAAAAGGCAAAAAGTCCCTTACAAAAGGCAAAAAGTCCCTTAGAAAAGGGAAAGAGTCCCTTAGGAAAGGGAAAAAGTCTCTTTTCCCAGAGAAATTTCTTGTCCCAAAAAGTCCCTTAGAAAAGTCAAAAAGTCTCCTAGAAAAGTCTCTTAGAAAAGGCAAAAAGTGCCTTAGGAAAGGCAAAAAGTCTTTTAGAAAAGTCAAAAAGTCTCTTAGAAAAAGCAAAAAGTCTTTTAGAAAAGTTGGAAAGTCTCTTTTCCCAGAGAAATTTCTTGTGCTGAGAAAAGTCAAAAAGTCTCTTTTCCCAGAGAAAATTTGGATTTTTCTTTTTCCAGAGAAAATTTCTTGTCCCGAGAAAAGTCAAAAAGTCTCTTAGAAAAGTTGGAAATTCTCTTTTCCCAGATAAAGTTTCTTGTCCCGAGAAAAGTCGGAAAGTTGGATTTTCTTTTCCCAGAGAAAAGTTTGGATTTTTCTTTTCCCAGGGAAAAATTTGGACTTTTCTTTTTCCAGAGAAAGTTTCTTGTCCCAAGAAAAGCCGGAAAGTCTCTTTTCGCAGCCAAGAAGGAGTCAGAGCTCTTCATTTACCATTCTCAATTTTATTGTTTTTTTTTTTTTTAATTGTACCAATGTATATTGTATTAATATACCAATGTATATTGTATTTTACCTATAAAATTTTTTCCTCCTGTCCAGCCGAGGCCCTCTCATGGTGACAGCCCAGGGGCCGTGGTAACTTTTTATAAAAAAAAAAATACAATATTTAAATTTACGCTATTTGAAATTGCAATATTTAAATTAACTGCAATATTAAAAAATATTAAAAAAAAAAACTACAGTATTAAAAAAATTTAAAAACCCCTACAATATTAAAAATAAATAAAAATTAAATAGACAGTGAGATTCCACTCTAAACCGACCCAAAAGGTCACAGCAGAAGATGGAGGCCAAGGAGGAGGAGGAGGAGGAGGAGGAAGGCCCAGATCTTTCCCCCCCGAAACCCCATCCCAAAAACCCCAAAATTCGCTTTTTTCTCGTGATTCCGAGCGTTCACCACGCCCCGTGTCCCCTCTGTCCCCTCCAGGACATCAGCAGCGCCTTGAGCAGGTAAGGGCAGAGCTCCAACATTTTTGGGTTTGAGCCAAATCCCTGCTTTGCCTTCACTTGGAGACCAAAATATTCCATTTTTAGCCCAAATATGTGGGCGTGCACAGGGAGCTCCCTCCAGGGTGGATCCTCAGCCGCTTTTTTTTTTTTCCTTTTTTTCCCCCCCAGCCTCAGAAATGAAAATTTCGAGTTGCCCCCAGAATTCCCAGATTTGGAGAGCAAAATTCAGCATTTCAGGGAGGAAAACGCTCTCCTGGAGGAGACGCTGAGGAGCTTCCGAGGTATCGGGGCGGGCTGGGCGATGGAGAGATCAATTTAATTGGAATAATTAAAATAATAAATTTTTTATTATAAATAATTGCAATATAAATATGATATAAATATAATATAAATGTATAAATGTATAAATGTATAAATGTATAAATGTATAAATATATTTATATATAAATATATAAATATATATTATGTAATATATATAAATATATAAATATAATATATAAATATAATATAAAACTATAATTAAATTTTATTAATTAAAATAATAACATTTAATTAATTTAATTGAAATAATTAAAATAATAAATTTTTATTATAATTAATTGTAATATAATTGTAATATAAATATAATATAAATATAATATAAATATAATATAAATATATAAATATATTTATATATAAATATATAAATATATATTATGTAATATATAAATATATAAATATAATATATAAATATAATATAAATTTATAATTAAATTTTATTAATTAAAATAATAACATTTAATTCAAATTAAAATTAATATAAATGTATAAATATATAAATATATAAATATATATTATGATATATATAAATATATAAATATAATATATAAATATAATATAAATTTATAATTAAATTTTATTAATTAAAACAATAACATTTAATTCAAATTAAAAATTAATTTATATAAAAATTGCATTATCAGTTTAATAGCTAAAATTAATTTTTAAATCACTGTAATTTTATTATATAATTATCATGCATACGTGCACCCATAAATTATATTTGTGTGCTTAGAGCGCAGGCGGTGACTTGTTGCGATTATTTTAACTGCAATTATTTTAGCTGCAATTAGTTTTTTAATTGCAATTTATGGCAAAAATCCTGGGTTTTTTATCAGCCCGTGTCTCCCTTTCTCCCCTTTTCTCAGACGTCCTGGCCTTCGAGCTGCCGGAGAAAAGTGAGTCCTGGGATGGGGGAAAATGGGGGAAAATGAGGGGAAAATGAGGGGAAATGAGGGAAAATGAGGGGAAATGAGGGGAAAATGAGGGGAAATGAGGGGAAAATGAGGGGAAATGAGGGAAATGAGGGGAAATGAGGAGAAATGGGGGAAAATGAGGGAAAATGAGGGGGAAATGAGGGGAAATTAGGGGAAAATGGTTGGAAATTAGGACAAAATGAGGGGAAATGAGGGGAAGATGAGGAGAAATGGGGGAAAATGATGGGAAATGAGGGGGAAACAAGGGGAAATGAGGGTAAATGAGGGAAAATGATGGGAAATGAGGGAAAATGAGGGGGAAACGAGGATAAATGGGGGGAAATGAGGGGAAATGAGGGGAAATGAGGGGAAACGAGGGGAAATCAGGGGGAAACGAGGGGAAATGAGGGGAAACGAGGGGAAATTAGGGGAAATCAGGGGAAATCAGGGGGAAACAAGGAGAAATGAGGGAAAATTAGGGGAAATGAGGGGAAATCAGGGGGAAATCAGGGGGAAACGAGGAGAAATGAGGGGAAATGAGGGGAAATGAGGGGGAAGTGAGGGGAAGATGAGGAGAAATGGGGGAAAATGATGGGAAATCGGGGAAATGAGGAAGAAATGGGGGAAAATGATGGGAAATGATGGGAAATGAGGGGAAATGAGGGGAAACGAGGGGAAAACAGGGGGAAACGAGGAGAAATGAGGGGAAATTAGGACAAAATGAGGGGAAATCAGGGGGAAACGAGGGGAAATCAGGGGGAAACGAGGAGAAATGAGGGGAAATTAGGACAAAATGAGGAGAAATGAGGGGGAAACGAGTGTAAACGAGTTGAAAGGGCCCCGGAGGAAGGCAGGCCGCAGGCGATCCCTCCCCTGTGCCGCAGTGCCGGTGACGCTGGAGCCCAGCACCGCCCACCCCCAGCTGCTCGTGGCGCCCGACGGCGGCAGCGTCACCTGGGAGAGCGCCCGGGAGCCTCCCGCGCTCGGAGCCCAGGCCGGAGCCGACCCCTGCGTGCTGGGCCGCGAGGCCGTCACGGGCGGGAGGCGCTGCTGGGACGTGCAGGTGGCCCCAGAGGGGTCCTGGGCACTGGGGGTGGCCAGGGAGACCCCCGGGAGAGGGGCAGGGACCCCCGAGAGTGGGGCAGAGACCGCTGGGAGTGGGGCAGAGACCGCCGGGACCTTCAGGACTGGGGAAGGGACCCTCGGGAATGGGGAAGGGACCCCTGGGAGAGAGGAAGGGACCCCCGGGAATGGGGAAGGGATCCTCAGGAATGGGGAAGGGACCCTCGGGAATGGGGAAGGGACCCTCGGGAATGAGGCAGAGACCCTCAGGAATGGGGGAGAGACCCCCGGTAGTGGGGCAGGGGCCTTCGGGAATGGGGAAGGGACCCTCTGGAATGGGGAAGGGACCCCCTGGAATGGGGTAGGGACCTTTGGGAGTGGGGTAGGGACCCTCGGGAATGGGGGAGAGACCCCTGGGAGAGAGGAAGGGACCCCTGGGAATGGGGAACGCACCCCCAGGAATGGGGCAGGGATCCTCGGGAATGGGGCAGGGACCCTCAGGAATGAGGCAGGGACCCTCTGGAATGGGGCAGGGACCCCCTGGAATGGGGAAGGGACCCCCATGAGTGGGACAGGGACCCCTGGGAGTGGGACAGAGCCCCGTGGGAGCGAGGCAGAGCCCCCTGAGAGTGGGGCAGAGCCCCCCGAGTGGGAGCTGTGGTCCATGGGGCAGTGCCAGGGCCAGTTCTGGGCTCTCACCTCGCTGGAGCGCACCCCGCTGCTCCTGCCCCGGGCGCCGCGCAGGGTGAGGGTGGCCCTGGACTACGACGGCGGCCGGGTGGCTTTCTTCGATGCCGACGAGCGGAGTTTGATCTTCGCCTTCCCGGCGGCCTCGTTCGAGGGCCACAGCGTCCGGCCCTGGTTCCTGGTGTGGGGAGAGGGCGCCCGCATCTCCCTGTGCCCCTGAGCTCCGCCAGAGCCCGGGGTTTGCACCATTCCCGGCTCTCCAGGGATTCCCGGAGCTGCTCGGGGTCGCTGTCCTGAGCTGTCACCCCCGAATGCGGGGCTGGAAACGGAGCTGCCTCTGCGCCGCCCCATCCTGCGCCACCCCGATCCCTTTCTCTCCTCCCCTCCGGCTTTGGATCAATTAAAAACACAACATTTGCATGTTTTAGCTTCTGCTCTGTCTGGCGTTCGCTGCCGCGGGGTGTCAAGGGAGGGTTTTGTTTAACGAAACCCCATTTGTTTCATTAAACTCAGTTCGTTTAATTAAACCCCATTCGGCGTCGGTGAAAGCGGCGAAAATCGCCGGAATTCGCGGCCTGGGTCTGAGGGCTGAGGCACCGCCCGCCCTGGGGCTGGTCCCGCCTCGGCCTCCCCGGCCTTTTTTTGGGGATAAATACAGTGAAAACTGGGGTTTTGGGGGTAAATAAAGTGAAAACTGGGGTTTTGGGGATAAATACAGTGAAAACTGGGGTTTTGGGGATAAATAAAGTGAAAATCGGGTGCGAGCAGCTGGGGAGGAGGAAGCTCGGCGAGGTGTCCTCACCCCGCACGGATTTTCCTGATTTATCACCCAGAGACTCAAAAATCCAGAGGAAATCGGGGCAGGGAGGCGTCGTCCTTTTATTTGAGTAAAAATAAAACACAAAACCCCACAAAACGTCCTTTTATTTGAGAAAACTAAAATCACAAATGCCAGGAATGTGGAAACCGTCCCCAAACCGGGGGGCTCAGGGCTCAGGACACGGCCTGGACAAAAAGCATTTTGGTCTCGGGATTCTAGCTGGTCAGAGTGACCCCAAGATAAGTTGAAAAGTCTTTTCCCAGCCAAGAAGGAGTCAGAACTCTTCATTTCTCATTTCTCAAGGTTGTTTATTGTTTTTTATCTGTAAATTTTTTTTCTCCTGTCCAGCCGAGGTCGTCTCAGCAGGACAGTCAGAGGCACTCTGCCCGCCGTGGGTCAGTGTTATCTTCTTATACAAAAAAACCCCTACAATATTTAAATATACAATATTTAAAAGTACAATATTTAAATGTACAATATTTACAATTGCTTTCCAACACCTATCACCTGTGTCAGACAGCGAGCTTCTACTCTAAACTAAAATAAAAGCGCCAACACCACAGCACAAGATGGAGGCCAAGAAGAAGGAGAAAGGCCGGACACGCCCAGATTCCTCCATCTTGCCCCATTCTAAAAACACCAAAAATCAATTTTTTCACCCCGCGATAAATTCGCTATCATTCCACCTAAACTTCCGTGGCTTGCAATTCTTCATAGAAGGTTGGTAATTGTTTTTTTCCAATCAAAGGCACGGCGGGGGGGGTCCTGGGCTCTGTGCCGAGGTCTCTGAGCCCCCTGGGCATGAGCTCAAGCCCTCCAGGGCCGCCAGAGGAATTTCCTGGGTTCCGAAACTTCGGGAAAAGAGGAAACACTTCGAGAAGGGAGGAAATGGGGAGGATTCATCCCGCCAAGGGCACAACAAGGTAAAAACCCCACACGCCAAACCGGGCTCCTCCTGGAGCCATCCCAGACCTCCTGACGGACTCAGAGGGCTCCCCTCAGCCCCCTCAGGAGCAGATCCGCAGCGAGAACCCGAATCCCACCCAGTCCAGGGCCGACACGGCTCTCCCGGCCCCGGCAGCGCTGGCCCCGCGTCACCTCCAGGGAGGAATTTATGGGTTCTGAAACTTCGGGAAAAGAGGAAACACTTCGGGAAGGAACCATCCCGCCAAGGGCACAACAAGGGTAAAAACCCCACACGCCAAACTGGGCTCCTCCTGGAGCCATCCCAGACCTCCTGACGGACTCAGAGGGCTCCCCTCAGCCCCCTCAGGAGCAGATCCGCAGCGAGAACCCGAATCCCACCCACTCCAGGGGCGACACGACTCTCCCGGCCACCTCCCCGTCCCAGCAGCGCTCGCCCCGCGTCACCTCCAGGGCAACCAGAAGAATTTCTGGGTTCTGGAACTTCGGGAAAAGAGGAAACACTTCGGGAAGGAATCATCCCGCCAAGGGCACAACAAGGGTAAAAACCCCACACACCAAACTGGGCTCCTCCTGGCCGATCACTCGGAGCCATCCCAGACCTCCTGACGGACTCAGAGGGCTCCCCTCAGGAGCAGATCCGCAGCGAGAACCCGAATCCCACCCACTCCAGGGGCGACACGGCTCTCCCGGCCACCTCCCCGTCCCAGCAGCGCTCGCCCCGCGTCACCTCCAGGGAGGAATTTATGGGTTCTGAAACTCCGGGAAAAGAGGAAACACTTCGGGAAGGACTCATCCCGCCAAGGGCACAACAAGGGTAAAAACCCCACACACCAAACTGGGCTCCTCCTGGCCGATCACTCGGAGCCATCCCAGACCTCCTGACGGACTCAGAGGGGCGGCATCACTCGGGATTCATCCCCTCAGGAGCAGATCCGCAGCGAGAACCCGAATCCCACCCACTCCAGGGGCGACACGGCCCTCCCGGCCACCTCCCGGCCCCGGCAGCGCTGGCCCCGCGTCACCTCCAGGGAGGAATTTATGGGTTCTGAAACTCCGGGAAAAGAGGAAACACTTCGAGAAGGACTCATCCCGCCAAGGGCACAACAAGGTAAAAACCCCACACGCCAAACTGGGCTCCTCCAGGAACCCTTAGCTGATCCTTGGAGCCATCCCAGACCTCCTGACGGACTCAGAGGGCTCCCCTCAGCCCCCTCAGGAGCAGATCCGCAGCGAGAACCCGAATCCCACCCACTCCAGGGGCGACACGGCCCTCCCGGCCACCTCCCGGCCCCGGCAGCGCTGGCCCCGCGTCACCTCCAGGGCAACCAGAAGAATTTCTGGGTTCTGGAACTTCGGGAAAAGAGGAAACACTTCGGGAAGGAATCATCCCGCCAAGGGCACAACAAGGTAAAAACCCCACACACCAAACTGGGCTCCTCCTGGCCGATCCTCGGAGCCATCCCAGACCTCCTGACGGACTCAGAGGGGCGGCATCACTCGGGATTCATCCCCTCCGGAGCAGATCCGCAGCGAGAACCCGAATCCCACCCACTCCAGGGGGGACACGGCTCTCCCGGCCACCTCCCGCTCCCGGCAGCGCTCGCCCCGCGTCACCTCCAGCAGCCGCGCCCCCAGGCCCATCTTGAACCAGGGCAGGACCCTCTCTCCGTTGAAGGCGGCGCGGGTGTGCTCCAGGATGGGGACGTCGTCGCCGGCGCTGAAGAAGGCCACGCGGCGCCCCTCGTAGTCCAGCGCCACGCGGAGGCGGCGCGGCGGCGGGCGCAGGGGCGGCCGGGCCCGCGGCGAGGTCAGCGAGTGGAAGGCCTCGAGCGCCCACACGCCGTCCTGGGGCCGCAGGCTGAGGGGGCCCCTCCTGCGGGCCGACTCCCGCACCACCCCCAGCGCCCAGACGCCGCCCCGGCCCACCTCGACCTCCCAGAAATGGCGGCCCGAGGTGAAGCCGCCCCGCGCCAGCACGCAGGGCTCGAAGTCGAAGCGCTCGGGGTGGTCGGGGACGTCGCGGGGCTGGAGCTGCCCCCGAGCCTCCCTGGCGTCGGCGGAGAGGTGCAGGTGAGGGTGGGCGGTGTGGGGGTCCAGGGTGAGGGAGGCTGCGGGGAAAGGGAGGGGTGGGGGGGAGTCGGCATGCTGGGAAAGGCCGTGCTGAAAATGGGGGCAAATCCCCCTGAAAAAAGCCCTTAAAAATTCCCTGAAAAATGCCTTAAAAATTCCCTGAAAATGCCTTAAAAATTCCCTGGAAAATGCCCTGAAAAATGCCTTAAAAAATCCCTGGAAAATGCCCTGAAAAATCTCCTTAAAATGGGGGGAAAATCCCCCAAAAATTCCCTGAAAAATGCCCTTCTGAAAAGGGGGAAATCCCCCTGAAAAATGCCCTTAAAAATTCCCTGGAAAATGCCTTAAAAATTCCCTGGAAAATCTCCTTAAAAAAGGAGCAAAATCCCCCAAAAATTCCCTGAAAAATGCCCTTCTGAAAAAGGGGCAAATCCCCCTGAAAAATGCCTTAAAAATTCCCTGGAAAATGCCCTTCTGAAAAAGGGGGGAATCCCCCGAAAAATGCCCTGAAAAATCTCCTTTAAAGAAGGGGGAAAATCCCCCAAAAATTCCCTGAAAAATGCCCTTCTGAAAAAGGGGGAAATCCCCCGAAAAATGCCCTGAAAAATCTCCTTAAAAAGGGGGGAAAATCCCCCCAAAAATGCCCGGAAAAATGGGGGAAAATCCCCTGAAAAATCTCCTTCTGAAAAATGCTCTTCTGAAAAAGGGGAAATATCCCTTACATTACATTACATTACATTACATTACATTACATTACATTACATTACATTACATTACATTATATTATATTATATTATATTATATTATATTATATTATATTATATTATATTATACTATATTATATTATACTATATTATATTATACTATATTATATTATATATTTATAATATTATTAAATTATTATATATAATATAAAATCTATTGTATTCTATTTAATAATAATAATAATAATAATAATAATAATAATAATAATAATAATAATAATAATAATAATAATAATAATAACAATAATCCTTCTAAAAGATTCCTCACTTCCTTCCTGCGCCCCCAGCACAGGCAGGACGGGGCAGGATTGGGATCAAACTCCCTCTAAATCCCTCCCGGCCCCATCCCGTCCCACAGCGCGGAATTCCCGGGCAGGGAAAGGGAGGGAAAATTCTCTTTTTGGGATATTCTGGGGAATCCAAATCCAGACCCAAACCCCGAATTTCCTGCCCCAAACTCACCCGGCTCCTGCAGCAGGAACATGAGGCTGTCTGGGCAGAGAGAATTCAGGGATTTGGGGTCAAAAATCACCTTTGTGCCCTGGGATGGAGCCCCTGGCGCCTCATCCCCAGGATTCAGGGATTATTCCCCTCTCTGTTCCCTTCCCTGGCTTTTCTGATCTCTGGGGTTCCATTTTCCCACCAGCCCGCCCCCAAAATTCTGATTTGGGCTGGATTTTCCCTTCCTCTGCAATTCCCAGCTGGTTTTGGAACCAGGAAAAAACCTCAGGGAAAATCTCAGGTGAACAGAACCTGGATATCCCCCCCCCAAAAAAGAACCCCAATTCTGCCAAAATAACCCAATTTTTGCCAGGAATCCCACAAAATTAATCCATTTTTGTCAGGTATCCCACAAAAAAAACCTGTTTCTGTTAAGTATCCCACAAAATACCCCATTTCTCCCAGGAATCCCACAAAATAACCCCATTTGTGGGGAATTCCATAAAATATCCCCGTTTCTGCCAGGTATCCCACAAAATAACCCAATTTCTGCTGGTTATCCAAAAGAATAACCCAATTTCTGTCAGGTATCCCACAAAATAACCCAATTTCTGCCAGATATCCAAAAAAAAAAAACCCATTTTTGCCAGGAATCTCACAAAAAAACCCGTTTCTGTTAAGTATCCCACAAAAAAACCCCAATTTTTGCCAGGAATCCCACAAAATACCCCCATTTGTGGGGAATCTCTCAAAATATCCCCGTTTCTGTTAAGTATCCCACAAAATAACCCAATTTCTGCCAGATATCCAAAAAAATAACCCCATTTTTGCCAGGAATCCCACAAAAAAACCCGTTTCTGTTAAGTATCCCACAAAATACCCCATTTGTGGGGAATCCCACAAAATATCCCCATTTCTGCCAGGAATTTCACAAAAAAAACCCCATTTTTGCCAGGAATCCCACAAAATAACCCCATTTGTGGTGAATCCCACAAAATATCCCCGTTTCTCCCAGGAATCCCACAAAATAACCCAATTTCTGCCAGATATCCCAAAAAAATAACCCCATTTCTGCCAGGAATCCCAGAAAATGGCCCCGTTTCTCCCAGGTACCCCACAAAATACCCCATTTGTGGGGAATTCCATAAAATATCCCAATTTCTGTTAAGTATCCCACAAAATAACCCAATTTCTGCCAGATATCCCAAAAAAATAACCCCATTTTTGCCAGGAATCCCAGAAAATGGCCCCGTTTTTGCCAGGAATTTCACAAAATAACCCAATTTTTGCCAGGAATCCCACAAAATAACCCCGTTTGTGGGGAATTCCACACAATAACCCCGTTTCTGCCAGGAATTTCACAAAATTACCCTATTTTTGCCAGGAATCTCACAAAAAAACCATTTCTGTTAAGTATCCCACAAAATACCCAATTTCTCCCAGGAATCCCACAAAATAACCCAATTTCTGTCAGATATCCCAAAACATAACCCAATTTCTGTCAGGTATCTCAAAATAACCCAATTTCTGTCAGGTATCCCACAAAATAACCCAATTTCTGCCAGATATCCCAAAAAAAAATAACCCCATTTTTGCCAGGAATCTCACAAAATAACCCCATTTGTGGGGAATCCCTCAAAATATCCCCGTTTCTGTTAAGTATCCCACAAAATAACCCAATTTCTGCTGGTTATCCAAAAAAATAACCCCATTTTTGTCAGGTATCCCACAAAATAACCCAATTTCTGTCAAGTATCCAAAAAAATAACCTCATTTTTGCCAGGAATCCCACAAAATAACCCAATTTCTGTCAGGTATCCCACAAAATAACCCAATTTCTGCCAGATATCCCAAAAAAATAACCCCATTTTTACCAGGAATTTCACAAAATGGCCCCGTTTTTGCCAGGAATTTCACAAAATGGCCCCGTTTTTGCCAGGAATCCCACAAAATGGCCCCGTTTTTTACAGGAATTTCACAAAATAACCCCATTTTTGCCAGGTACCCCACAAAATGGCCCCGTTTGTGCCAGGAATTTCACAAAATGGCCCCGTTTTTTACAGGAATTTCACAAAATGGCCCCGTTTGTGCCAGGAACCCCACAAAATGGCCCCTTTTTTTACAGGAACCCCACAAAATGGCCCCGTTTTTGCCAGGAATCCCAGAAAATGGCCCCGTTTTTGCCAGATTTTGCCCCATCCCTCCTGGATTCCCCCCCAGGCCCACCTTGGCACCTCCTCAAGGCGCCCCTCACCAGGACGCTGCTCTGCACAAAATCCTCCAGGCTCCTCTGCAGCTCGGGGGAGAGCTCGGCCGGGGGCTGGAACCGCATCGACTCACAGCTGCCGAAAACGGGGGGAAAATGGGGGAAAACGGGAAAAAACGGGGGGAAAATGGGGAAAATGGGAAAAAACGGGGGGAAAATGGGGAAAACGGGAAAAAACGGGGGGAAAATGGGGAAAACGGGAAAAACGGGGGAAAAATGGGAAAAAATGGGGCAAAAAAGGGGGGAGAAAAGGGGAAAAAATGGGGAAAAAACGGGGAAAAACGGGGCAAAAAAAGGGAAAAAACGGGACAAAAAAGGGGGGAAAAAAGGGAAAAACAGGCCAAAAAAGGGGGAAAAAAAGGAAAAAATGGGCCAAAAAAGGGGGAAAAAAAGGAAAAAACAGGCCAAAAAAGGGGAAAAACAGGCCAAAAAAAGGGAAAAAATGGGCCAAATAAGGGGGAAAAAAAAGGGAAAAAACGGGCCAAAAAAGTGAGGGGGTGGAAGGGTCAAAAAAGGGGAAAAAAGGGGGAAAAAGGGGAAAAAACGGGCCAAAAAACGGGGCAAAAAAAAGGGGAAAAAATGGGCCAAAAAAGGGGGAAAAAGAGGGGAAAAACAGGCCAAAAAAGGGACAAAAAAAAGGGGAAAAACGGGCCAAAAAAGGGGAAAAACGGGCCAAAAAAAGGGGAAAACCGGGCCAAAAAAGGGAGGGGGGGGGAAGGATCAAAAAAGGGGAAAAAGAGGGGGAAAAAAAATGGTAAAACCCCCCAGTCCGATGATTCATTTTATTCTCATTAAATGTTCTCCCAGGAGCAATAAATATTAAATTAAATATAGAATTAAATATAGAATTAAATATTAAATTAAATATAAAATAAAATATTAAATAATATATTGAATAATATATTGAATAATATAAATAATATATTAAATAAAATAGTAAATAAAATAGAAAATAAAATATTAAATAAAGATACTAAATAAAATATTAAATAAAATGTTTTCCCTGCCCTTCCTGGGCAGTTTCCTTCTCCCCGGACCCGAATTCCCGAGCCCGGAGCAGAGCAGTGGGAATTGGAGGGAATTTGGGTGGGAATTGGAGGGAATTTGGGTGGGAATTGGAGGGAATTAGGGTGGGAATTTGGGTGGGAATTGGAGGGAATTTGGGTGGGAATTGGAGGGAATTAGGGTGGGAATTGGAGGGAATTTGGGTGGGAATTTGGGTGGGAATTGGAGGGAATTTGGGTGGGAATTTGGGTGGGAATTGGAGGGAATTTGGGTGGGAATTGGAGGGAATTTCACCCGGAGATGCCTCACCTGTCCAGGAGCTGTTGGATGTCCTGAAGGTGGGAGGAGAGAGGAGATGGTGAGAGATGGGTGGGTTTTGGAGATTTTTGATTTTTTCGGTGATTTTTCAGTGATTTTTTGGTGCTTTTTCAGTGATTTTTAGTGATTTTTATGGTTATTTTTTTGTGATTTTTTGGTGATTTTTCAGTGATTTTTGGGGTTTTTTTGGTGGGGTTTTTTGGGGAGGGTTTTGGGGGGGGGTTTGGGGATTTTTGGGGGAAGGGGAATTCTTGTGGAATTTTGGGGGGGATTTTTTTGGGTAGATTTTGGGTGTTTTTTGGGGGGATTTCTTGCAGATTTTTGGGGGGATTTTTTGCGTAGATTTTGGGGCATTTATTTGGGGATTTGGGGGTATTTATTTGGGGATTTTGGGGGATTTATTTGGGGGCTTTTTGGGGGATTTTGAGGTATTTATTTGGGGGCTTTTTGGGGGATTTGGGGGTATTTATTTGGGGGCTTTTTGGGGGCTTTATTTGGGGACTTTTTGAGGGATTTTGGGGATTTTAGGGGCTTTATTTGAGGGCTTTTTGTGGCTTTTGGGGGGCTTTATTTGGGCGCTTTTTGCGGGGATTTTGGGGTAATTATTTGGGGATTTTCGGGGCTTTATTTGGGGGCATTTTGGGGGCTTTATTTGGGGTATTTATTTGGGGATTTTGGGGGCTTTATTTGGGGACTTTATTTGGGGGATTTTGGGGCATTTATTTGGGGATTTTCGGGGCTTTATTTGGGGGCTTTTGGGGGGGATTTTGGGGGCTTTATGTGGGGATTTTGGGGGCTTTATTTGGGGGCTTTTTGCGGGGATTTTGGGGTAATTATTTGGGGATTTTCGGGGCTTTCTTTGGGGGCTTTTTGGGCGATTTTGAGGTATTTATTTGGGGATTTTGGGGGGATTTTGGGGTATTTATTTGGGGATTTTGGGGGCTTTCAGTGGATCCATCCCCGTCCCCACCCAATCCCCATCCCTGTCCCGTCCCCGCTCTGTCCCGCCCGGGCCCCGGGGCAGCTCCCAAGGGTGCTGAATTTCCCATTCCGAGTCTCCTCCGTTCCTCTCCGCACCTGCAGGAACCGTCCCGGCGGCTGCTGGAGCCTCCCCTCCATCTCCCAGGCCAGCGTCTCCACCCGCGACAGCTCCTCCGAGACCTGGGCCAGGGCGCGGCGCCGGGCGCGGGCCAGGGCGGCCTCCAGGGCCCCGAGCTGCGCCCGCAGGCGCCGCTGCTGCTCCTCCAGGCAGCGCCGCAGCCCCTGCAGCTCCCGCGCCAGGCGCTGCCCCTCGCCCCGCGCACGGGCCTGGGCAGGGAGCAGGAGGAAATGGGGATTGGGATGGGGTTTGGGAAGGGATGGGCTCAATGAAATGGTGCAGGGGAGGAGGAAATGGGGATTGGGATGGAGCGCTCGGGGTTTGGGAAAGGGAATGAACTCAATGAAATGGTGCAGGGAGGAAATGTGGATTGGGATTGAGTGCTTGGGGTTTGGGAATGAGGGGGCTCAGAATGAAAGGATGAGGGGAGGAGATGCAGATGGGATGGAGCGCTTGGATTTTCGGGAATGGAATGAACTCAATGAAATGGTGCAGGGAGGAGATGCGGATGGGATGGAGCGCTTGGGGTTTGGGATGGGAACAACTCAATGAAATGGTGCGGGAGGAGACGTGGATTGGGATCAAACGCTTGGGGTTTGGGAAGGGATGGACTCAGAATGAAAGGATGAGGGGAGGAGGAGACGCGGCTGGGATGGAGCGCTTGGATTTTCGGGAATGGATGAACTCAATTAAATGATGCGGGGAAGAAACGCAGATGGGATGGAGCGCTCGGGGTTTGGGAATGGAACAACTCAGAATGAAAGGATGCGGGGAAGAAACGCGGATGGGATGGAGCGCTTGGATTTCGGGAATGGGATGGACTCAGAATGAAAGGATGCGGGGAGGCTCCCTTGGGGACCTCTCAGGTGCCTCAGAAATGGGGGGAAAGAGAGGGAAATCGGGGTAAAACGGAGGCTGCGTCCTCCAAAAATCCGAGAGAGCCCAGGGAATGCCCCGTGGCCTCTCCCTTTACTTGAATAAAGCCAGAAAAGAGAGGACTTCTCTGTCTCCTTTTTGGGCACAAACCTCTCCTGTTTGGGGATTAATTTCTCTGTCTCCTTTTTGGGTACAAACCTCTGCTGTTTGTGGGTTAATTTATTTCCCTGTCTCCTTTTTGGGCAAAAACCTCTGCTGTTTGTGGGTTAATTTCTCTGTCTCCTTTTTGGGCTCAAACCTCTGCTGTTTGTGGGTTAATTTATTTCCCTCTCTCCTTTTTGGGCTCAAACCCCTGCTGTTTGTGGGTTTATTTTCCCGACACCTCCCTCCCCTCGTTATCTCCCTGCCGCAGCCCTGGCTGAACCCCAGCTGATAAAACCAACGCTCCACGAGCCAAATTCGGGAGGTTTGGCCTCAAAACAGCGCTGGGGCCGAGGGAGAGACGCAAAGCCCAGATCCAACCAAGCCCCCAAGCTGCTCCCACCAGGTGCAGACTCCTCCAAGCTCCGGATTTTCGGCTTTCCAGGAATTTTTCTCTCTCCTCCTTCAAAGCCTGGAGGCAGCTCTGGATCTGCTCCTGCAGGGAAATAAAAAGTGAACTCGGAGGGGCTGAGAAAAACCCGTTTTTCCCACCAAAATTTGCTCTATCCCTCGTCTGAGATGGGAGATGCTGATTTTTTTTTTTTTTTTAATTTTATTTTTATTATTTTTTTTATTATTTTCCAAGAAGGAGCGAGGAGCTGAGCCGGAGCCAGACCCACATACAGGGAGGGCTGGGAGCCCCAGATAAGAGAAATTTTCCCCCCCCAAAAAAAACCACTCCTGGCCTCCAGAAATTTGGGTTCTGGGATAAAAATCACCGTCTTTAAAAACCCCAGGCCGATTTTTCAGGGGTTTATGTTTACAAGAACGTTTTAGACATAATTGTAGACAAAACGTTGCGTCCGTTTATGACTTCTTTAAGTTTATAGAGAATTCTCCAGAAGTCTTTTTTGCAGGAGAAAAGGAGCAGAAAAGGGGTTTCTAAATGAGCTGCAGCTCAACAAAAAATAGTTTGCATTTATTTGAAACTAAAGAAGCAGCAAAGACATTGAGATCAGAGTAAGAACACCACCAAAGGGGTTTAAAGCACCACCAAAGGGGTTTAAAACACCACCAAAGGGGTTTAAAGCACCACCAAAGGGGTTTAAAGCACCACCAGATTAAAAACCACCCCCAAAGAGAAGCATTTTGAGGCGCTTCCAGCCACTCTGGGCACTGAAATCACCTCAAATCCAAACCCACGGGGACCGAGGAGGTTTCCCCCACTCACGGTGGTCTCAACTCGGATGTCAGCACCCCGTGGGTGTCCCCGTTGTCCGGGTGTCACCATCCCCTGAGTGTCACCATTGTCCATGTGTCCCCATCCCCTGGGTGTCCCCATTGTCCATGTGTCCCCATCCCCAGAGTGGCACTGTCAGGGGTGCCACCATTCCCAGAATGTCACCACTCCCAGGATGTCACCATTGTCCAGGTGTCACCATCCCCTGGGTGTCCCCATCCCCAGAGTGGCACTGTCAGGGATGTCCCCATCCCCTGAGTGTCCCCATTGTCCAGGTGTCCCCATCCCCTGTCTGTCCCCATTGTCCGGCTGTCCCTGTCCCCATCCCGAGTGTCCCCAGGGCTCTCACCCGGTACTCCCGGTGTCCCCATCCCGTCTGTCCCCCATCCCCTGTCTGTCCCCATTGTCCGGCTGTCCCTGTCCCCATCCCGAGTGTCCCCAGGCTCTCACCCGGTACTCCCGCGCCGCCTCCTCGGCGGGCACCACTTGGTGCTCCCGCTGCTGCTCCCGCTGCTGCTCCCGGTGCCGCTCCCGCTGCCGCTCCCGGTGCTCCCACGCGCACTCGGGGCACAGCAGCGCCCGCTCCTCGCGGCAGAAGAGCCGCAGCGGCTCCCGGTGCCGCCCGCACACGGAGCCGCCCCCCGGCGCCACCGGCGGCACCGCCTGCAGCAGCCCCGGCAGCAGCTCCCGGGCGATGCCCGCGATGTGCCCGAGCTCCCGGCTGGGTCTCAGGCTGCTCCCGCCCGGGGCCGCGTCCCGGCACTGCGGGCAGCACAGCGGCCCCGCCGCCGCCGCCGCCGCCGCCCCGGGGCCCGGCCCGCAGCGCTCCACGCAGCCCCGGCAGAAGTTGTGGCCGCAGCGCAGCGAGACGGGGTCGCGGAAGAGCTCCAGGCACACCGGGCACGAGGCGGCGGCGCGGAGCTGCTCGGCGGGGCTGGGAACCGCCATGGGAGCGGCGGGGAGGAGGAGGAGGAGGGTGTGCTTCCTCCCTCGGGGACCCTGGATATTGCGGAGGAGGAGGATGCACGGGGAGCTGGGGATGAAGAAGAGGAGGGTGTCAGGGATGATGGGGATTTGGGGTGAAGGAGAGGAGGATGCACTGAGAGCTGGGGATGAAGAAGAGGAGGGTGTGCTTCCTCCCTCGGGGACCCCGCGTACTGGGGAGGAAGAGGAGAAGGATGTGAGGGATGATGGATATTGGGGATGAGGAGGAGGAGGGTGTGAGGGGTGCTGGATATTTGGGATAAGAAGAGGATGAGGAGGGTGTGCTTCCTCCCCTGTGGGTGCTGGGAGCTGGGGATGAAGAGGAGGAGGAGGAGGGTGTGAGGGGTGCTGGATATTTGGGGATGATGAAGGAAAGTTTGGCTGGAGAAGGCAGGGAGGGAAGAAGAGCCGAGATTCAAAATTACACAAAGAAAAATGGGGAGAAGGGCTCAGATGAGCTGAAAGTGCCGGAATGAGGGGGGAAAATAAGGGGAAAAAGGGAAAAAAGAGGGGGAAAAAAGAGACGGGAAGGAAAAAGGGGAGTGTTTCTGCCCGGTTTCGAACCGGGGACCTTTCGCGTGTGAGGCGAACGTGATAACCACTACACTACAGAAACGCTGTGCCTCGGCCGCCGCGCCGGGAGGGAAAACCGCGGCGAAAATGGGAGATTTTGGGTAAAAAGGGAAAAAATACCCAAAGAGACCCGGGACAGGGACCGGGACCGGGAAAACCGCGGGGAAAATGGGAGATTTTGGGTAAAAAGGGCTAAAATACCTGAGCGGGACCGGGAAAACCGCGGGGAAAATGGGAGATTTTGGGTAAAAAGGGAAAAAATACCTGAGAGAGACCCGGACCGGGACAGGAACCGGGACAGGAATCGGGACCAGAACCGGGACAGGAACCGGGACCGGGACCGGGGGGCTCGGAGCGCCCAGGGCTGCGCTGGGGGCGGGGAAAGGTGCCAATGTCCCGCCCCCGGCTCCGCCCTCAACCCCACGGCGCTGACACCGCCCCCAGTCCTCCAAGACCAACGAGTTGACTGGTTGGACAAACCCCAGAGGAAGTGGAGCGGCCAAAATTTCCGGTGTTGCTCGGCAACCGGATCCACTTCCGGTCACGCTGGGCGGAATAGGCGGTGCCTCAACCGGAAAGCGGAAGTTCCGCGGCCTTCCCCGTCTGTAGCAGAGCCACCGCCAGGCGAACGCGGCCGGGGGGACCCGGACCGGAACCAGGACCCAGACAGGAACCGGAGACCGGGACCGCGCTGCGGGCGCGGAAAGCCGGTATTGCCCCGCTTCCGGTTCCACTCCCAGTCCTCCAATAACAACGAGTCGCGTGGCTAGACAAACTTCGGCAACAGGAGCCACTTCCGGTCATATTGAGCGGAAGAGGCGTGGCCTGAGCCGGAAGGCGGAAGTTCCACTGCCTTTCCCGTCTGTGGCGGAGCCGCTGCCGGGCGAGCGCGGCCCGGGAGGAACCGGAGGGAACCGGCGAGACCCGAGAGGAACCGAGCGGGACCCGACGAGCACCTAGCGGGCACCAAGCGGCTCCTCCAGCACCGTGAGAGCGCGGGGGGACCGCGGCGGGGAGGCCCGGTGAGGCCTAGCGGGGCCCGGTGAGGCCTAGAGGGGCCCGGTGAGGCCTGGCCCGGGCCGGGGGGGCTGAGCCGGGTGGAGGAGGAGGAGGAGGAGGAAGAAGAGGAGGAGGAGAGGAGAAGGAGGAGGAGGAAGGCGCCCCACGGGAATGGCGGCGCCGTTGGCGCTGGGCGGCCCCGGTTCCCTGCGGCCGGACCCGGTGGAGACGCTGCAGGAGGAGGCGATCTGCGCCATCTGCCTCGACTACTTCGCCGACCCAGTGTCCATCGGCTGCGGGCACAATTTCTGCCGCGGCTGCATCTCCCGACTCTGGGCCCGCGGCGGCGGCGGCGCAACCGAGCCCGGCCCGGAGCGCTCCGAGCTCGGCGAGGAGGAAGAGGAGGAGGAGGAAGAGGAGGAGGAAGAGCTGGAGGAAGACGAGCTGGATGTAGAGCAGGAGGAGGAGGAGGAGGACGGCGTGGAGGAGGAGGAGGATGACGATATGTGGGAGGAAGATGAGGAGGAAGAGGAAGAGGAGGAAGGCGAGCTGTGGGGAGACCCCGCTGAGGATGAGGAGGAGGAGGATGATGAAGGCGGCGCAGCGTGGGCCGGGGGCGCCGAGGGGAGCGGCCTCTACCTGGGCTACGACGAGGACGTGATGGAGGCGGACGTGGAGGAGGAGGAGGAGGAGGCGGAGGACGAAGACGACGAGGAGGATGAGGATGACGATGACGACGATGATGAGGAGGAAGAGGAAGGCCCCGCGGCCTTCACCTGCCCGCAGTGCCGCAAATCCTTCTCGCAGCGCAGCTTCCGGCCCAACCTGCAGCTGGCCAACATGGTGCACATCATCCGCCAGCTGCACCCGGGGCCCGCCACCGGCACCGGCACCGGCAGCACCGGCAGCACCGGGCCCGAGCCCTGCGGCGCCCCCGGCGGCCCCCCCGAGCTGTGCCCCAAGCACCGGGAGCCGCTGAAGCTTTTCTGCGAGCAGGACCTGGCCCCGATCTGCGTGGTGTGCAGGGAGGCACGGGGGCACAAACAGCACAGCGTGCTGCCCCTGGACGAGGCCCTGCAGGAGTGCAAGGTGCAGGAAATTGGGGAGATTTGGGGTTTTTATTGGGTTTGGGGTGTATATGGTGTGCAGGGAGGCACGGGGGCACAAACAGCACAGCGTGCTGCCGCTGGACGAGGCCCTGCAGGAGTGCAAGGTGCGGGGAAAATGGGCAAATTTGGGGAAATTTGGGGGGTTTGGGGTGTAGGGAGCCCAGCCCAGTGCTGCCCCTGGACGAGGCCCTGCAGGAGTGCAAGGTGTGGGAGAATTGGGCAAATTTGGGGTTTTTATGGGGTTTGGGGTGTAGGGAGCACAGCACAGCGTGCTGCCCCTCGACGAGGCCCTGCAGGAGTGCAAGGTGTGGGAGAATTGGGGAGATTTGGGGAAATTTGGGGGTTTTGGGGTGCAGGGAGCACAGCACAGCGTGCTGCCCCTCAACGAGGCCCTGCAGGAGTGCAAGGTGCAGCAAAATGGGGAGATTTGGGGGTTTTATTGGGGTTTTTATGGGGTTTGGGGTGCAGGGAGCACAGCCCAGTGCTGCCCCTGGACGAGGCCCTGCAGGAGTGCAAGGTGTGGGGAAATGGGGAATTTTGGGGAAATTTGGGGGGTTTGGGGTGTAGGGAGCACAGCCCGGTGCTGGTCGAGGCCCTGCAGGAGTGCAAGGTACGGGGAGAATTTGGGGAAATTTGGGGGTTTTATGGGGTTTGGGGTGTATATGGTGTGCAGGGAGGCAAGGGGGCACAAGCAGCACAGCGTGCTGCCGCTGGACGAGGCCCTGCAGGAGTGCAAGGTGTGGGAAATTGGGGAGATTTGGGGTTTTTGGGGGTTTGGGGTGTAGGGAGCACAGCCCAGTGCTGCCTCTCGACGAGGCCCTGCAGGAGTGCAAGGTGTGGGGAGAATTTGGGGAAATTTGGGGTTTTTATTGGGGTTTTTATGGGGTTTGGGGTGCAGGGAGCACAGCCCAGTGCTGCCGCTGGACGAGGCCCTGCAGGAGTGCAAGGTGCGGGAGAATTTGGGGGATTTTTGGGTTATTTTGGGTGTTTTTGGGGGGTTTGTTTGAGGTTTTTTGGCAGTTTAGGCGCGGTGCCGCTCGACGCGGCGCTGTAGGACTGCAAGGCGGGAATTTGGGGAGTTTTGGGGGGGATTTTGGGGTTTTAAATGGGGTTTGGGAAGGGTTTGGGGGGTTTTGGGGAGGTTTTAATAGGGTTTGAGGGGGCTCGGGGGGAATTTGGGGGAGTTTGGGGCGTTTGGAGGGTTCGGAGATTTGGGGTTTTTGGGGCGTTTTGGGGTTTTTGGGGCGTTTTTGGGGATTTTGGGGGTCAGAATCCCCGGACCTGGCCGGGCTGAGCCCCCTCCCCTCCCTCAGACCAAGCTCCAGAGCCACCTGGAGCCCCTGCGGAGGCAGCTGGAGGCGGTGCTGAAGCAGAAATCCAGCGAGGAGGAGAAAATCTCCCTGCTCAGGGTGAGCTCTGCACGGATCCGGCCCTTCCCAGCCCGAAAACCAGCCCCAGGGCACTCAAATCCCCTTTTCTGCACCATTTTATCCCTTTCCAGTGCCAGGACACTCAAATCCCCTTTTCTGCACCATTTTATCCCTTTCCAAACAGCCCCAGGACACTCAAATCCCCTTTTCTGCACCATTTTATCCCTTCCCAACCAGTGCCAGGACACTCAAATCCTCATTTTCTGCACCATTTTATCCCTTTCCAGTCAGTGCCAGGACACTCAAATCCTCATTTTCTGCACCATTTTATCCCTTTCCAGTCAGCGCCAGGACACTCAAATCCTCATTTTCTGCACCATTTTATCCCTTCCCAGCCCAAAAAACAGCGCCAGGACACTGAAATCCTCATTTTCTGCCCCATTTTACCCCTTTCCAAACAGCCCCAGGGCACTCAAATCCCATTTTCTGCCCCATTTTATCCCTTCTGAACTTCCATTCTCAATTCTTAATTCTTCATTAAAGGGTGAAAGGCTGGAAATTGTTATGGAAGGAGAGGAAATTTGGGGTTAAAGGGGTGGAAATTTGGGGTTAAAAGGCTGGAAATTGTTATTGGAGGAGTGGAAATTTGGGGTTAAAGGAGCGGAAATTTGGGGTTGAAGGAGTGGAAATTTGGGGTTAAAGGGCTGGAAAAATCATTGTTGAAGGAGTGGAAATTTGGGGTTGAAGGAGCGGAAATTTGGGGTTGAAGGAGTGGAAATTTGGGGTTGAAGGAGCGGAAATTTGGGGTTAAAGGGCTGGAAATTGCCACTCCAACTCATAAATTTGCTGTTAAAATCCTGGAAATCTTTGCTCCAACACAGAAATTTGGTGTTCAAGGGCTTGAAATCTTTGCTCCAACACCAACTTTTGGGTTTAAAGGCTGGAAATTTGGTGTTCAAGGGCTTGAAATCTTTGCTCCAGCACCAATTTTTGGGTTTAAGGGCTGGAAATTTGGGGTTCAAGGGCTGGAAATCTTTGCTCCAGCACCAATTTTTGGGTTTAAGGGCTGGAAATTTGGGGTTCAAGGGCTGGAAATCTTTGCTCCAGCACCAATTTTTGGGTTTAAGGGCTGGAAATTTGGTGTTCAAGGGCTGGAAATCTTTGCTCCAGCACCAACTTTTGGGTTTAAGGGCTGGAAATTTGGTGTTCAAGGGCTGGAAATTTGGTGTTAAAAGCCTGGAAATCTTTGCTCCAGCACCAACTTTTGGGTTTAAGGGCTGGAATTTCGGTGAAAAGGCCGGAAGCTGGGGGCTGAAGGGGTGGAAATTTGGGGTGAAATTGGCAGAAATTCGGCACTAAAGGTCTCGAAGTGACCTCTCCAACCCCGTAAATCACAACTCCAACACAGAAAACTGCGTCGAAAAGCCCGGAAACCGCTCAAACCCTCCGAACCCTTTCCCCCTGTGCCCCTCAGGAGCAGATGCAGGCGGAGATGCAGGAGCTGGAGGCCGATTTCGAGGAGCTGCAGCAGTTCCTGGCCGGGGAGCAGCTGCTGCTGCTGCGGCAGCTGCAGGAGCGGCACCAGGCGCTGCAGGCGCGGCAGCAACGCAACCTCAGCGCCCTGGAGGAGAGGGGAGCGGCCCTGCAGCGCCTGATTGCAGAGGCTGAGGCTGCAGGGAGGCAGGAGGGGCTGCAGCTGCTCAAGGTGGGGATACTGGGGTGTTAATGGTGTAAACTGGGGTGTTACTGGTGTTACTGGGGGAACTGGGGCTGGGGAATGGCAGCAACGCAACCTCAGCGCCCTGGAGGAGAGGGGAGCGGCCCTGCAGCGCCTGATTGCAGAGGCTGAGGCTGCAGGGAGGCAGGAGGGGCTGCAGCTGCTCAAGGTGAGGATACTGGGGTGTTAATGGTGTAAACTGGGATAAACTGGGATAAACTGGGACTGGGGAATGGCGGCGGTGCAGCCTCAGCGCCCTGGAGGAGAGGGGAGCGGCCCTGCAGCGCCTGATTGCAGAGGCTGAGGCTGCAGGGAGGCAGGAGGGGCTGCAGCTGCTCAAGGTGGGAGAAACTGGGATAAACTGGGATAAACTGGGGTAAACTGGGACCGGGGAATGGCAGCAACGCAACCTCAGCGCCCTGGAGGAGAGGGGAGCGGCCCTGCAGCGCCTGATTGCTGAGGCTGAGGCTGCAGGGAGGCAGGAGGGGCTGCAGCTGCTCAAGGTGGGATAAACTGGGGTGTTAATGGTGTAAACTGGGATAAACTGGGGTAAACTGGGATAAACTGGGGTGAACTGGGGTGTTACTGGTGTTACTGGGGGAACTGGGACTGGGGAAACTGGGACTGAGGGGTGACAGCCCTGGAGGAGAGGGGAGCGGCCCTGCAGCACCTGATTGCTGAGGCTGAGGCTGCAGGGAGGCAGGAGGGGCTGCAGCTGCTCAAGGTGAGACAAACTGGGACAAACTGGGATAAACTGGGGTGAACTGGGGTGAACTGGGACTGGGGAATGGCAGCAACGCAACCTCAGCGCCCTGGAGGAGAGGGGAGCGGCCCTGCAGCGCCTGATCGCAGAGGCTGAGGCTGCAGGGAGGCAGGAGGGGCTGCAGCTGCTCAAGGTGAGGATACTGGGGTAAACTGGGACAAACTGGGGTGTTAATGGTGTAAACTGGGGTGTTACTGGTGTTACTGGGGGAACTGGGGCTGGGGAATGGCAGCAACGCAGCCTCAGCGCCCTGGAGGAGAGGGGAGCGGCCCTGCAGCACCTGATTGCAGAGGCTGAGGCTGCAGGGAGGCAGGAGGGGCTGCAGCTGCTCAAGATGAGACAAACTGGGATAAACTGGGATAAACTGGGATAAACTGGGGTGAACTGGGGCTGGGGAATGGCAGCAACGCAACCTCAGCGCCCTGGAGGAGAGGGGAGCGGCCCTGCAGCGCCTGATTGCAGAGGCTGAGGCTGCAGGGAGGCAGGAGGGGCTGCAGCTGCTCAAGGTGAGGATACTGGGGTGAACTGGGGTGAACTGGGGTGTTACTGGTGTTACTGGGGGAACTGGGACTGGGGAATGGCAGCAATGCAGCCTCAGCGCCCTGGAGGAGAGAGGGGAGCAGCAGCGCCTGATTGCTGAGGCTGAGGCTGCCAGGAGGGGCTGCAGCTGCTCAAGGTGGGAGAAACTGGGATAAACTGGGATGGACTGGGGTGAACTGGGGTGAACTGGGATAAACTGGGGTGTTAATGGTGTAAACTGGGAGGTTACTGGTGTAAACTGGGGGGAACTGGGGCTGGGGAATGGCAGCAACGCAACCTCAGCGCCCTGGAGGAGGCGGAGCTGCAGCTGCTCAAGGTGAGGTGAACTGGGAGGTTACTGGGGTGAACTGGGATGTTAATGGTGTAAACTGGAGTAAACTGGGATAAACTGGGGTTACTGGGGTGTTACTGGGAGGTTACTGGTGTAAACTGGGGTGAACTGGGACTGGAGAATGGCAGCGGTCAGCACTGGAGGAGGCGGCGCTGCAGCTGCTCAAGGTGGGGTGAACTGGGATAAACTGGGGTAAACTGGGGCATTAATGGGTAAACTGGGATAAACTGGGATAAACTGGGGTAAACTGGGGTTACTGGGGTGTTACTGGGAGGTTACTGGTGTAAACTGGGGGAACTGGGATTAAGGAATGGCAGCGCTGCAGCCTCAGTGCCCTGGAGGAGAGGGGAGAGCCCTGATCAGCGAGGCCGGGGCTGCAGGGAGGCAATTTGGGGGTTAAAATTTAATAAATTTAATAAATTTAATAATTAAAAAAAATTATTATTAAATTTAATAAATTTAATAGTAAAAAGATGCCCAGTTTTGGGTTAAAATGGGGCAAAATCCGCCCCTCTGGAACCGATTTTGGGTTAAAACGGGGCAAAATCCGCCCCTTTGGAGGCAATTTTGGGTTAAAATGGGGCAAGATCCGCCCCTTTGGAGCCGATTTTGGGTTAAAATGGGGCAAGATCCCCAGTTTTGGGTTAAAATGGGGCAAAATCCGCCCCTTTGGAGGCAATTTTGGGTTAAAATGGGGCAAGATCCCCAGTTTTGGGTTAAAATGGGGCAAAATCCGCCCTTTTGGAGCCAATTTTGGGTTAAAACAGAATCCCACAGGACCAACCCAAATCCTCATTAAAATTTTCACTTTTTTCTTTTCCCCCCTCTCTGCATTCGTCATCTCCCAGGACATCAAAGGCACCTTCATCAGGTGAGTCCCCATCCCCGGCAGGGATTTTGGGGCTATTTTGGGGGATTTTGGGGCTGGTTTGGGATATTTGAGGGATTTTGGGGCCGGTTTGGGGCATTTTGGGGCTGGTTTGGGATATTTGGGGGATTTTGGGGCTGGTTTGGGATATTTGGGGGATTTTGGGGCTGATTTGGGATATTTGGGGCTGGTTTGGGATATTTGGGGGATTTTGGGGCTGGTTTGGGATATTTGGGGCCGGTTTGGGATATTTGGGGCCGGTTTGGGATATTTTGGGGCAGCAGGAAGTGCCCAGGGGACACCTTGGAGCAGCCGAATCCCAATTTTCCTGTTTTTCCCCCCATTTTCCAGGTGTGAGAACATCAAATTCCAGGAGCCCGAGATGATCCCGGTGGACGTGGGGAGGAAGTTCAGGAATTGCTTCCTGCAGGACGTGGTGATGAGGAAGATGGAAAAGGTCTTCAGCAAAGTGCCCCAAGGTGGGGAGGGGGAGAAGGGGAAATTTGGGGTTAAAAGGGTGAAAATTGGGGGTTTTAAAGGAGTTGGAGCTGAGGGCTCGGAGAGGGGAGAATCTGGCGTTTAAAAGGGGTGGAAATTCTGAGGTTAAAGGGGTGGAAGTTGGGGTGAAAAGGCTGGAAATTGGGGACTGGAGGGGTTGGAAATTGGGGGTTAAAGGGGGGAAAATTTGGGGTTAAAGGACTGAAAATTGGGGGTTTTAAAGGAGTTGGAGCTGAGGGCTCGGAGAGGGGAGAATCTGGCGTTTAAAGGAGTGGAAATTTGGGGTTAAAGGAGTGGAAATTGGGGTGAAAAGGCTGGAAATTGGGGACTGGAGGGGTTGGAAATTTGGGGTTAAAGGGGTGAAAATTTGGAAGTTAAAGGAGTGAAAATTTGGGGTTAAAGGAGTGAAAATCAGGGGGTTAAAGGGGGGGAATTTGGGCTAAAAGGCTGAAAATTGGGGATTGGAGGGATTGGAAATTTGGGGTTAAAATGCTGGAAATGCTCCAACTTTGGGGTTGAAAGAGCAGAAATTTGGGGTTAAAGGGCTGGAAACTTGGTCCAACCCCGCTGTTGAAGGAGCAGAAATTTGGTGAAAAGTCAGGAAATTGGGGGTTGGAGGATTGGAAATTTGGGGTTAAAGTGGTGAAAATTTGGAAGTTGAAGGAGTGGGAATTTGGGGTTAAAGGGCTGGAAATCCTTGCTCCAACACCGACTTTGGGGTGGAAGGAGCAGAAATTTGGGGTTAAAAGGCTGGAAATGCTCCAACTTTGGGGTTGAAAGATTGGAAATTTGGGGTTAAAGGGCTGGAAATGCTCCAACTTTGGGGTTGGAGGGTTGGCAATTTGGGGTTAAAAGGCTGGAAATGCTCCAACTTTGGGGTTGAAAGATTGGAAATTTGGGGTTAAAGGGCTGGAAATGCTCCAACTTTGGGGTTGAAAGATTGGAAATTTGGGGTTAAAAGGCTGGAAATGCTCCAACACCAACTTTGGGGTTGAAAGATTGGAAATTTGGGGTTAAAAGGCTGGAAATGCTCCAACTTTGGGGTTGAAAGATTGGAAATTTGGGGTTAAAGGGACGGGAATGCTCCAACTTTGGGGTTGGAAGATTGGAAATTTGGGGTTAAAGGGCTGGAAATGCTCCAACTTTGGGGTTGAAAGATTGGAAATTTGGGGTTAAAGGGCTGGAAATGCTCCAACACTGGGGTTGAGGATTGGCAATTTGGGGTTAAAGGGATGGGAATGCTCCAACACCAACTTTGGGGTTGAAAGATTGGCAATTTGGGGTTAAAAGGCTGGAAATGCTCCAACTTTGGGGTTGGAGGATTGGCAGTTTGGGGTTAAAGGGCTGGAAATGCTCCAGCTTTGGGGTTGAGGATTGGCAATTTGGGGTTAAAAGGCTGGAAATGCTCCAACTTTGGGGTTGGAGGGTTGGCAATTTGGGGTTAAAAGGCTGGAAATGCCCCAACTTTGGGGTTGGAGGAGTGGAAATTTGGGGTTAAAGAGCTGGAAATGCTCCAACTTTGGGGTTGAAAGATTGGAAATTTGGGGTTAAAAGGCTGGAAATGCTCCAACCCTGGGGTTGGAGGGTTGGCAATTTGGGGTTAAAGGGACGGGAATGCTCCAACACCAACTTTGGGGTTGAGGATTGGCAATTTGGGGTTAAAGGGCTGGAAATGCTCCAACACCGACTTTGGGGTTGAAAGATTGGAAATTTGGGGTTAAAGGGCTGGAAATGCTCCAACTTTGGGGTTGAAGGATTGGAAATTTGGGGTTAAAGAGCTGGAAATGCTCCAACACTGGGGGTTGAAGGGTTGTCAATTTGGGGTTAAAAGGCTGGAAATGCTCCAACTTTGGGGTTGAAAGATTGGAAATTTGGGGTTAAAAGGCTGGAAATGCTCCAACTTTGGGGTTGAAAGATTGGAAATTTGGGGTTAAAAGGCTGGAAATGCTCCAACTTTGGGGTTGGAGGGTTGTCAATTTGGGGTTAAAAGGCTGGAAATGCTCCAACTTTGGGGTTGAAAGATTGGCAATTTGGGGTTAAAGGCTGGGAATGCTCCAACTTTGGGGTTGGAGGGTTGGCAATTTGGGGTTAAAGGGCTGGAAATGCTCCAACACTGGGGTTGGAGGGTTGGCAATTTGGGGTTAAAGGGATGGGAATGCTCCAACACTGGGGTTGGAGGAGCGGATATTTGGGGTTAAAGGGATGGGAATGCTCCAACACCAACTTTGGGGTTGAAAGATTGGAAATTTGGGGTTAAAGGGACGGGAATGCTCCAACACCGACTTTGGGGTAGAAGGAGCGGAAATTTGGGGTTAAAAGGCTGGAAATGCTCCAACACCAACTTTGGGGTTGAGGATTGGAAATTTGGGGTTAAAAGGCTGGAAATGCTCCAACTTTGGGATTGGAGGATTGGCAATTTGGGGTTAAAGGGCTGGAAATGCTCCAACACCAACTCAGGGGTTGAAGGAGCAGAAATTTGGCGCAAAGCCCGGAACTTTGGGGTTGAAGGATTGGAAATTTGGGGTTAAAGGGCTGGAAATGCTCCAACTTTGGGGTTGAAAGATTGGAAATTTGGGGTTAAAAGGCTGGAAATGCTCCAACTTTGGGGTTGGAGGGTTGGCAATTTGGGGTTAAAAGGCTGGAAATGCTCCAACTTTGGGGTTGAGGATTGGCAATTTGGGGTTAAAGGGCTGGAAATGCTCCAACTTTGGGGTTGAAGGGTTGGCAATTTGGGGTTAAAAGGCTGGAAATGCTCCAACACTGGGGGTTGAAGGGTTGGCAATTTGGGGTTAAAGGGCTGGGAATGCTCCAACTTTGGGGTTGAAGGGTTGGCAATTTGGGGTTAAAGGGCTGGAAATGCTCCAACTTTGGGGTTGGAGGGTTGGCAATTTGGGGTTAAAGGGCTGGAAATGCTCCAATCCCGGTGTTGAATGAGTGGAAATTTGGGGTTAAAGGGCTGGAAATCCTTTCTTCAACACCGACTTTGGGATTGAAGGAGTGGAAATGGGTTTTTCCTGGGGTTGAAGAGGTGAGAATTGGGATTAAAAGTGAGGAAATTTGGGGCTTGAAGGAGTGGAAATTTGGGGTTAAAGGGACGGGAATGCTCCAACTCCAACTTTGGGGTTGAATGAGCGGAAATGTGGCGCAAAGCCCGGAACCTGGGGGTTGGAGGAGTGGAAATTTGGGGTTAAAGGGACGGGAATGCTCCAACACTGGGGTTGAAAGATTGGAAATTTGGGGTTAAAGGGCTGGAAATGCTCCAACACCGACTTTGGGGTTGGAGGGTTGGCAATTTGGGGTTAAAAGGCTGGAAATGCTCCAACTTTGGGGTTGGAGGATTGGCAATTTGGGGTTAAAGGGCTGGAAATGCTCCAACTTTGGGGTTGAAAGATTGGAAATTTGGGGTTAAAGGGCTGGAAATGCTCCAACCCCGGTGCTGAAGGAGCGGAAATTTGGTGTTAAAGGGCTGGAAATGCTCCAACACCAACTTTGGGGTTGAATGAGCGGAAATGTGGCGCAAAGCCTGGAACTTTGGGGTTGGAGGGTTGTCAATTTGGGCCCCAAGGGCTGCGAATCCTCGCCCCAAGCCCTGCCCGCCCCCGCAGCCGACGTCACCCTGGACCCGTCCACGGCGCACCCGCGGCTCTGCCTGTCCCTGGACCGGCGCAGCGTCCGTCTGTCCGAGCGGCGCCCGGAGCCCATGGACGGCGCCCGGCCGCCCCTGCAGCCGCCCCAGCCGCCCCAGCCGCCCCAGCAGCACCAGCAGCACCAGCAGCAGCGCCCGGATGGTACCGGCAGCACCGGCGGTGACCTCTGCGTGCTCGGCTCCCCCGGCTTCACCGCCGGCCGCCACTACTGGGAGGTGGAGGTGGGCGGGCGCCGGGGCTGGGCCGTGGGCGCCGCGCGCGAGAGCGCCCGGGGCCGGCCCCAGGGCGCCCAGGCCGGGCCCAAGCGCGAGATCTGGGCCCTGGGCACCTCGGGCAAGAAGTACCAGGCGCTGACGGCCACGGAGCAAACGGCGCTGGCGCCCGCCGAGCAGCCCAGGAGGTTCGGGGTCTACCTGGACTACGAGCGCGGCCAGCTGGGCTTCTACAACGCCGAGAGCATGAGCCACATCCACACCTTCCACATCTGCTGCTGCCGCCAGCGCGTCTTCCCCTTCTTCCGCGTGCTGGCCCGCGGCACCCGCATCAAGATCTGCACCTGATGGGGGGGCCCAAAAGGGCAACGGACTCGGGGGTTCTTGGTTCTTGGGTTTCTCCTTCTCCGTCTCCTTCTTCTTCTTCTTCTTCATCCTCCCCTTCCTCCATGTGCTGGCCCACAGCACCCACATCAAGATCTGCACCTGATGGGGGCCCAAAAGGGGCGACGGACTCGGGGGTGGTTGGTTCCTGAGCTTCTTCTCCTCCTTCTTCTCCTTCTCCTTCTTTTTCTTCTCCTTCTCCTCCTTCTTCTCCTTCTTCTTCTTCTTCATCCTCCCCTTCCTCCATGTGCTGGCCCACAGCACCCACATCAAGATCTGCACCTGATGGGGCCCAAAAGAGGCCACGGACTCGGGGGTGGTTGGTTCCTGAGCTTCTTCTCTTTCTTCTTCTTCTCCTTCTTCTTCTTCCTCTTCTTCTCCTCCTTCTTCTTCTCCTTCTCCTCCTTCTCCTCCTTCTTCTCCTTCTCCTTTTTCTTCTCCTTCTCCTTCTTCTTCTCCTTCTTCTTCTCTTCATCCTCCCCTTCTTCCGCGTGCTGGCCCACAGCACCCACATCAAGATCTGCACCTGATGGGGGCCCAAAAGGGGCGACGGACTCGGGGCGGTGCTTGGTTCTTGAGCTCCTCCTTCTCCTTCCTCTTCTCCTCCTTCTCCTTCCTCTCCTCCTCCTTCTCCTCTTCTTCTCCTCCTTCTTCTTCTTCTCCTCCTTTTCTTCTTTTCCTTCTCCTCCTTCTTCTTCTTCTCCTTCTCCTTCTTCTTCTCCTTCTTCTCCTTTTCCTTCTTCTTCTTCTTCTCCTTCTCCTCCTTCTTCTCCTTCTCCTTCTCCTCCTCCTCCTCATCCTCCCCTTCCTCCGTTCCGGCCCGCGCCGCCCCCATCAAGACCGGCTCCTGACGGGGGCCACGGACTCGAGATTTCCTGCAGATCCTCCCTCAGAAAGGGGGCGACGGACGCGGGGTGGCTGCAGCCGTTCGGTTCTTGAGGTTTCTCTTCTTCCTCCTCCTCCTCCTCCTCCTCCTCATCCTCCCCATTCCCCCGCGTCGAGATCTGCGCCTGGCGGGGGCACGGACTCGGAATCTCCCGTTGGAGGCCTGAAAATCCTTCCTGGAAAGGAGGGGACGGACGCGGGGTGGCTGCAGCCGTTCGGTTCTTGAGGTTGTTCTGGTTCTTCATCCTCATCTTCATCATCCTCTTCATCCTCATCCTCATCCTCATCCTCCGGTGCCGCGGAGCTGGGTCAGCTCAGGCTGGGAGGCGCCTTGGGAAAACGGGGCAGGATCCGCCTTGGAATTGGGGTTGGGCTGATTGGGGCAGGAAACGCTCATTTGGAGCCGGTTTGGGGTAAAATGGGGCAGAATCTGCAACTTTGGAGCAAATTTTGGGTTAAAATGGAGCAGGATCTGCACCTCTGGAGCAAATTTTGGGTTAAAATGGGGCAGGATCCACCTTGGAATTGGATTTGGCTTGATTGGGGCAGGAAACGCTCGTTTGGAGCTGGGTTTGGGGTAATATGGGGCAGAATCTGCAACTTTGGAGCAAATTTTGGGGTTAAATGGGGCAGGATCTGCACCTTTGGAGCAAATTTTGGGGTAAAATGGGGCAGGATCTGCACCTTTGGAGCCAATTTTGGGTTAAAACGGGGCAGGATCCACCTTGGAATTGGGTTTGGGCTGAATGGGGCAGGAAACGCTCGCTTGGAGCTGGTTTGGGGTAAAATGGGGCAGGATCTGCACCTTTGGAGCAAATTTTGGGGTAAAATGGGGCAGGATCTGCACCTTTGGAGCCAATTTTGGGTTAAAATAGGGCAGGATCTGCCCCTTTGGAGCAAATTTTGGGTTAAAATGGGGCAGGATCCACCTTGGAATTGGGTTTGGGCTGAATGGGGCAGGAAACGCTCGTTTGGAGCTGGTTTGGGGTAAAATGGGGCAGGATCTGCGCCTTTGGAGCCATTTTTGGGTTAAACTCGAGCAGAATCCGCCCCTTTGGAGCCATTTTTGGGTTAAAATGGGATAAGATCTGCCCCTTTGGAACTAGTTTTGGGTTTGCCTCTTTGGAACCAGTTTTGGGTTAAAATAGGGCAAGATCTGCCTTTTTGGAGCCAATTTTGGGTTGAATTCCAGCAGAATCCGCCCCTCTGGAGCCAATTTTGGGTTGAATTCCAGCAGAATCCGCCCCTCTGGAGCCAATTTTGGGTTAAATTCGAGCAGAATCCGCCCCTCTGGAGCCATTTTTGGGTTGAATTCCAGCAGAATCCGCCCCTCTGGGGCCATTTTTGGGTTGAATTGGAGCAGAATCCGCCCCTTTGGAGCCATTTTTGGGTTAAATTGGAGCAGAATCCACCCCTCTGGGGCCATTTTTGGGTTGAATTCCAGCAGAATCCACACCTTTGGAGCCATTTTTGGGTTGAATTGGAGCAGAATCCGCCCCTTGGAGCCAATTTTGGGTTGAATTCCAGCAGAATCCGCCCCTTTGGAGCCATTTTTGGGTTGAATTCCAGCAGAATCCGCCCCTCTGGGGCCATTTTTGGGTTGAATTCCAGCAGAATCCGCCCCTCTGGGGCCATTTTTGGGTTGAATTCCAGCAGAATCCGCCCCTTTGGAGCCAATTTTGGGTTGAATTCCAGCAGAATCCGCCCCTCTGGAGCCATTTTTGGGTTGAATTCCAGCAGAATCCGCCCTTTCAGAGCTGATTTTGTTTCGGATCCGTTCTCAGTTCTGGTCCCCGTTCGGTTCCTGGTGCTGGGAGCTGCCCCCCCCTCCCCTCCCCCAGTTCAATTTTGGGCCTTTCCCGGGATTTTTCCACATTTTGGGACCAATTCCTGTCAGGTTCGAGCCTCCCTCCTTTCCCAAAATCCGCATTTTTTGGTGCCTGGATTTTTTGGGATTCGCCCCCGGCCCCGTTCCCGTTCTCCCCCTGCTGTTTGCTCCTCCCTTTCCTCGCCATTTTTTTGGGGGGAAAATCCCGGATTTTTGGATTTCCCTCTCCCCTCTGGCACTTTACGGGGCTCCCGCCCCGCAGCTCTGGAGCTCCCCGGGTTGGGGATAATTTATTTTTATTTTTATTTTTTTTTTTTTTTAATTTTTATTTCCATCTGGATCCTTTCCCGCCCGGGAGCTCCTCCCCCTGCCCCTCCCCTCCCTGGCGTTTTTCCCTGAATTTTGGTGGATTTGGGAAATTTCCTCGTTGGCGTTTCAGAGCTCGTTCGGGATATTTTTGGCTATAAAAACGAGAATTAAATGGAGATTTTAGTTTTATGACTTGTCAATAATAAAGAATAAAGGAGTTGTATCCAAGGCTCGTTGGGTGCTGGGAGGAGCCGCTTCCAGGATCGGTGAATTTTGGGGTGAATTTCCCCAAAATTGGGGTCGGGGCTGCTCCAAAATCAAGCGGGGTCCAATCCCAGCTCATTAATCCTGCTCTGATCCTTGTTAATTAATAATTAATTAACACAGCCTGGAGCTGCGAGTCCAGCTCCCAACCCACTAACAAATTAATATTTAGCAGGTATTTACTTTTAAAAATTAATATTTAGCAGTTATTTAGTTTTTAAAATTAGTATCTAGCAATTATTTACTTTAAAAATTAATATCTAGCAATTATTTAGTTTTAAAAATTAATATTTAGCAGTTATTTAGTTTTAAAAATTATTATCTAGCAATAATTTACTTTAAAAATTAATATCTAGCAATTATTTAGTTTTAAAAATTAATATTTAGCAGTTACTCTTAAAAATTATCTAGCAGTTATTTACTTTTAAAAATACCTAGCAGTTATTTACTATTAGAAATTAATTTAATATTTAGCAGTTACTTACTTTTAAACATGAATATCCAGCAGTTATTTACTATTAGAAATTAATTTAATATCTAGCAATTGTTTACTTTAATTTGGGGTTTAATTAATTTAGGTTCCTCACATCTTACATGGACCAATTTGGGGGGTTTTTAATTAATTTGGGTTTTTTTATTAATTGGGGGTTTTTTTAAACCAATTTGCCGAGGAACAGCCCCAAACCCCACCCCCTGTGACGTCACCACCTTTTCCCCCTTCCCGAGGTTTTTTGCCCCAAAATCCCAGCAGGGACACGCAGCGACTCCAGCTCCAAAAATCGCCGTTTATTGACAATTTCTTGGGTTGAAAAACGGCGGGATCGGGGCTCAGCGGGTGCCGATGGTCACCTGCCACGCCCACATCGACATTTTTGGGTTGAAAAACGGCGGAATCGGGGCTCAGCGGGTGCCGATGGTCACCTGCCACACCCGCACCAGGTTGTCGGTGTAGCCGGCAAAGAGAGTCTGGGGACAAGGACAGGGTCACCGTGGGGTCAGGGGTCACCGTGGGGTCAGGGGTCACCATTTGAATGTCCCCTCCCCAGGTCAATGTCCCCAGGTGAGGGCCCCTGCCCAGGTGTTGGGACCCCATTTGAATGTCCCCTCTCCAGGTCAATGTCCCCAAGTGAGGTCCCCAGGTGAGGGCCCCTGCCCAGGTGTTGGGACCCCAAACCCCCCTGAGCCAGTGAGGGGTCCCCAGGGGCTCATCCCCAAATTCTCGTCCCCAGGTGAGTTCCCCCTGCCCAGGTGAGGGTCCCCAGGTGAGGGTCCCCATCTGAATGTCCCTTGCCCAGGTGATGATGCCCAGGTGAGTGTCCCCAATGCCCAGGTGAGTTCCCCCTGCCCAGGTGAGGGTGCCCAGGTGAGTTCCCCCTGCCCAGCTGAGTGAGTGTCCCCAATCCCCAGGTGAGTGCCCCAGCCCAGGTGATGATGCCCAGGTGAGTGTCCCCAATGCCCAGGTGAGTGTCCCTGCCCAGGTGAGTGTCCCTGCCCAGGTGAGTGTCCCCAATGCCCAGGTGAGTGAGTGTCCCCAATGCCCAGGTGATGATGCCCAGGTGAGTGTCCCCAATGCCCAGGTGAGTGTCCCCAATGCCCAGGTGAGTGTCCCCAGTGCCCAGGTGAGGGTGCCCAGGTGAGTGTCCCCAACGCCCAGGTGAGGGTGCCCAGGTGAGTGTCCCCAATGCCCAGGTGAGTGTCCCCAGTGCCCAGGTGAGTGTCCCCAGTGCCCAGGTGAGTGTCCCCAATGCCCAGGTGATGATCCCTGCCCAGGTGAGTGAGTGTCCCCAATGCCCAGGTGAGTTCCCCCAGCCCAGGTGAGTGTCCCCAATGCCCAGGTGAGTGTCCCCAGTGCCCAGGTGATGATGCCCAGGTGATTATCCCTGCCCAGGTGAGTGTCCCCAATGCCCAGGTGAGTGTCCCCAATGCCCAGGTGATGATGCCCAGGTGAGTGTCCCCAATGCCCAGGTGAGTGTCCCCAATGCCCAGGTGATGATGCCCAGGTGAGTGAGTGTCCCCAATGCCCAGGTGAGTTCCCCCTGCCCAGGTGAGTGTCCCCAGTGCCCAGGTGAGTGAGTGTCCCCAGGTGTCCTCACCTGCCCATCTGCTGACCAGGCCAGCGAGGTGCACTGGGGCGGCTCCGCTTTGCTGCTGGTGCTGATCACCTCCTGCTTCAGCTCGTCCACGATGATCTTCCCCTCCAGGTCCTGCAGGTGGCAGCAGCCCGGTCCCACCTGATCCCACCTGGATCCCACCTGGATCCTGCCCGGATCCCGCCCAAATCCCACCTGATCTCACCTGGGTCCCACCTGATCTCACCTGATCCCACCTGGATCCCACCTGGATCCTGCATTGATCCCACCTGGATCCTGCCCAGATCTCACCTGATCCCACGTGGATCCTGCCCAAATCCCACCTGGATCCCACCTGATCTCACCTGGATCCCACCTGATCCCACCTGGATCCTGCCCGGATCCCGCCCAAATCCCACCTGATCCCGCCCAAATCCCACCTGGATCCTGCCCTGATCTCACCTGGATCCCACCTGGATCCTGCCCAAATCCCACCTGGATCCTGCCCGGATCCCACCTGATCCCCCCTGGATCCTGCCCAGATCCCACCTGGATCCCACCTGGGTCCCACCTAGATCCTGCCCTGACCTCACCTGGATCCTGCCCTGATCTCACCTGGATCCCCCCTGGATCCTGCCCTGAATCCTGCCCAAATCTCACCTGGATCCCCCCTGGATCCTGCCCAGATCCCCCCTGGATCCAGCCCTGATCCCCCCGGATCCCCCGGCCCAGGTGGCTCAGAAACAGCCTCTGGGTTTCCCCATGGAACGGTCGGAGGCATTTCAGTTTCATCACAGCACGGAGAGGAGGAACCCCAACCCCAATCAACCCCACTCCCAACCCCAATCAACCCCTGTTATCCCAATCCCATCACCCCAACCCCAATCAATCCCTGTTGTCCCAATCCCAAAAATCCCGTTTTTTTACCCAGATCTTGATGCTGGGGCCGGTGGCCGCGCACAGCCAGTATCAGTGGGGCTGAAGCAGAGCGCGTTGATCCCATCCCCGTTCTGACCCCATTCCTGACCCCATTATCCCAATCCCATTATCCCAATCCCATTATCCCATTGATTTCCCCATTTCCCCGTTTTTTACCCAGATCTTGATGCTGGGGCCGGTGGCCGCGCACAGCCAGTATCAGTGGGGCTGAAGCAGAGCGCGTTGATCCCGTCCCCGTTCTGACCCCATTCCCAACCCCATTATCCCAATCCCATTATCCCAATCCCAATCCCATTATCCCATTATCCCATTAATTTCCCCATTTCTTTACCCAGATCTTGATGCTGGGGCCGGTGGCTGCGCACAGCCAGTAGCGGTTGGGGCTGAAGCAGAGCGCGTTGATCCCATCCCCGTTCTGACCCCGTTCCCAATCCCATTATCCCATTATCCCAATCCCATTATCCCATTGATTTCCCCATTTCCCCGTTTCTTTACCCAGATCTTGATGCTGGGGCCGGTGGCTGCGCACAGCCAGTAGCGGTTGGGGCTGAAGCAGAGCGCGTTGATCACGTCCCCCCCGTCCAGCGTGTACAGGTGCTTGCCCTCGTTCAGGTCCCACAGCATGGCCTGGCCATCCTGGGGGGACATTGGGGACATTGGGGACATCATTGGGGACACCCCCAGAGCCAGGACACCCCCTCGTTCAGGTCCCACAGCATGGCCTGGCCATCCTGGGGGAACATGGGGACATCATTGGGGACATCAACAGGGACATTGGGGACACCCAGAGTGGGACACTGGGGACACTGGGGACAGGTGCTTGCCCTCGTTCAGGTCCCACAGCATGGCCTGGCCATCCTGGGGGGACATGGGGACATTGGGGACATCACTGGGGACATGGGGACACAGGGATACCCCCAGAACCATGGCCTGCCCGTCCTGCGGACATTGGGGACAGCACTGGGGACATGGGGACATTGGGGACACCCAGAGTGGGACATTGGGGACAGGTGCTTGCCCTCGTTCAGGTCCCACAGCATGGCCTGCCCGTCCTGGGGGGGACAATGGGGACATTGGGGACATCATTGGGGACATCACTGGGGACATTGGGGACACTGGGGACATCAACAGGGATATTGGGGACACCCCCAGAACCATGGCCCGGCCATCCTGGGGACATTGGGGACACCCCCAGTGGGACACCAGGTCCAGAACCAGGACACCTGAGTGTCCCTGACTGTCCCAGGTGTGTCCCCAGGCTCACCTTTCCCCCCGAGGCACACAGTGACCCATCAGGTGACACGGTGACCGTGTTCAGGTGTCCCCAGCTGTGTCCCCAGGTGTGTCCCCACGCCCCAGGTGTGTCCCCAGGTGTGTCCCCATTCCCCAGGTGTGTCCCCAGGCTCACCTTTCCCCCAGAGGCGCACAATGACCCATCAGGTGACACAGTGACCGTGTTCAGGTGTCCCAGGTGTGTCCCCAATGTGTCCCCATTCCCCAGGTGTGACCCAGGTGTGTCCCCAGGCTCACCTTTCCCCCAGAGGCACACAGTGACCCGTCAGGTGACACAGTGACCGTGTTCAGGTACCCCGTGTGCCCGATGTGGTTCGTCTTCAGCTTGCAGTTGGCCAGGTTCCACACCTGGGGACAGGGACAGGGACAGGGACAGGGACAGGCAGGTGAGCCCGGGGCTCCTGGGGGCCCCAGGTGTGCCCAGCTTGGGGCTCTCACCTGGCCCAGGTCTCTCACCTTGACCAGTTTGTCCCAGCCGCAGGAGACGATGATGGGGTTGCTGCTGTTGGGGGAGAAGCGAACGCACGAAACCCACTCGGAGTGGCTCTCGTCCTGTGGGACAGGTGAGACAGGTGGGGGACAGGTGAGGGACAGGGGAGGGACAGGGGAGGGACAGGTGGGACAGGTGGGGGACAGGTGAGGGACAGGTGAGGGACAGGTGGGGGACAGGTGAGGGACAGGTGAGACAGGTGAGGGACAGGTGAGGGACAGGTGAGGGACAGGTGAGGGACAGGTGAGGGACAGGTGGGGGACAGGTGAGGGACAGGTGGGACAGGTGAGGGACAGGTGAGGGACAGGTGGGACAGGTGAGGGACAGGTGAGGGACAGGTGAGACAGGTGGGACAGGTGAGGGACAGGGGAGGGACAGGTGAGGGACAGGGGAGGGACAGGGGAGGGACAGGTGGGGGACAGGTGAGGGACAGGTGAGGGACAGGGGAGGGACAGGTGAGGGACAGGTGGGGGACAGGTGAGGGACAGGTGAGGGACAGGTGAGGGACAGGTGAGGGACAGGTGGGGGACAGGTGGGGGACAGGTGGGGGACAGGTGGGGGACAGGTGAGGGACAGGGGAGGGACAGGTGAGGGACAGGTGGGACAGGTGGGGGACAGGGGAGGGACAGGTGAGGGACAGGTGAGGGACAGGTGAGGGACAGGGGAGGGACAGGTGAGGGACAGGGGAGGGACAGGTGAGGGACAGGTGGGGGACAGGTGAGGGACAGGTGGGGGACAGGTGGGGGACAGGTGGGGGACAGGTGGGGGACAGGTGAGGGACAGGGGAGGGACAGGTGAGGGACAGGTGAGGGACAGGTGGGACAGGTGTGGGACAGGTGAGACACAGGTGAGGGACAGGTGGGACAGGTGAGGGACAGGTGAGGGACAGGGGAGGGACAGGTGAGGGACAGGTGGGGGACAGGTGGGGGACAAGTGAGGGACAGGTGAGGGACAGGGACAGGTGAGGGACAGGTGAGGGACAGGTGAGGGACAGGTGAGGGACAGGTGAGTACGTCCCCATTACTGACCCCAAACCCCCCATTACTGACCCCAAACTGCCCCAAATCCCCCGGAATTCACCCCAAATCCCCCATTACTGACCCCAAATCCCCCAGAATTCACCCCAAACCCCCATTACTGACCCCAAACTGCCACAAATCCCCAGAATTCACCCCAAACTGCCCCAAATTCCCAGAATTCACCCCAAACCCCCCATTACTGACCCCAAATCCCCCAGAATTCACCCCAAACCCCCATTACTGACCCCAAACTGCCCCAAATCCCCCAAACTGACCCCAAATCCCCGGATTTCACCCCAAAATCCCCCTCCCACCTGCACGGTGTACTTGCAGACGCCCAGGGTGTTCCAGAGCTTGATGGTTTTGTCCCAGCAGTGACCAGGACTGACCCCAAACCCCCCATTACTGACCCCAAATCCCCCATAACTGCCCCAAATCCCCCGGAATTCACCCCAAATCCCCAGAATTCACCCCAAATCCCCAATCCCACCTGCACGGTGTACTTGCAGACGCCCAGGGTGTTCCAGAGCTTGATGGTTTTGTCCCGCGAGCCCGACACGATCTGGCGGTTGTCGGAGGAGAAGGCCACGCTCAGCACGTCCTTGGTGTGCCCCACGAAGCGGCGCGTGGTGGTGCCCCTGCGGGGTCAGGATCGGGGTGAAATACACGGGGATTGGGAAAAACGGATGGAAAAATGGGAAAAACGGACGGAAAAATGGGGGAAACAGCCCAAAAATGGGAAAAACGGACGGAAAAATGGGGGAAACGGCCGTAAGACTGGGAAAAAAACAGATGGGAATTGGGGGGAAATGGGCATAATTGGGGTGAAATACCCATAAAATGGGAAAGACAGCAAGGAATTGGGGTGAAATAGCCATAAATTGGGAAAAACGGCCATAAAAATGGGGAAAACGGCTGCAAAAATGGGAAAAACGACCAGAAATTGGGGGGTAAATGGCCATAAAATGGGAAAAAAACCAGACGGGAATTGGGGGGAAATGGGCATAATTGGGGTGAAATAGCCATAAAATGGGAATACCAGCAAAAAATTGGGGTGAAATAGCCATAAAATGGGAAAGACAGCAAGGAATTGGGGTGAAATAGCCATAAATTGGGAAAAAACAACCAGGAATTGTGGTGAAATAGCCATAAATTGGGAAAAAACAGCAAGGAATTGGGGTGAAATAGCCCTAAAATGGGAAAACCAGCCCTAGAAATGGGGAAAGCAGCCAGGAGCTGGGGTGAAAAGAGGCGTGCAATGATTGACCCAGTGAGAACTGGGATCAGAGCAGTTTCAGGTAAGATTTGGGGATTTGAGGAGTCTGACCCCACAAATTCCAGCCCTTTTCCAGCTGCACCCCCTCAATGGACACCCCCAAAAATAAAAAACCCCCAAAAACCCCAAAATCCCCGGGGCTGCTGGCGCAGGCCTCTCCCATCATCATTGCAGGACTTGTCCTCAGACCCCCGGGGGGATCAGTGCGAACTCAGCTGTAATCATCGGGAGAGGGACAGCGAGCGGCCCGGGCCCAAAAACCCCGGATTTCACCCCAAAATGAGCCCCCAAAGCCCGGCGTTCACCCCGAAACGCACGTGGTGAGGTCCCAGAGGCGCAGGGTGCCGTCCCAGGAGCCCGACAGCGCAAACTGCCCGTCGGACGAGATCACCACGTCGCTGACAAAGTGCGAGTGCCCGCGCAGCGCCCGCTGCGGGATCCCGTAGTTGGTCTCGTCACGCGTCAGCTTCCACATGATGATGGTTTTGTCTGGGGAGGGGGCAACGAGGGGTCACAACGGGACCCCAGACTCATTGGGGTCACAACGGAGCCCCCAGACTCATTGGGGTCACAACGGGAGCCCCGGGAGCCCCCAGACCCAGCAGGGTCACCCCAAGGACCCCCGGACTCAGCAGGGTCACACCGGGATCCCCCCTGCCCGTGATGGTCTCGTCTGGGGAGGGGGCAATGGAGGGGTCACAGCGGGACCCTTGGGAGCCCCCAGACCCAGCAGGGTCAAACCAGGACCCCCCCTGCCCCTTCCTCATGCTCACTCCATCCCAGCCCCTTCCTCACTCTCACTCTGCTCTTCCTCATCCTCCCTCATTAACCGGTCCCGCTGCCCCGGGGTGCCCCCCAGCCCCCTCCCGCGGGCTCCCCGCGGTCCCGGCCGCCCTCTCCCCCCTCACAGCAGCCCCCGGAGCCCTCGGGCCCGATGGTCCCGCACCGCGCGAGGCCGACAGGATCATGTCGGGGAACTGCGGCGTGGTGGCGATCTGCGTCACCCAGCCGTTGTGGCCCTTCAGGGTGCCGCGCAGGGTCATCTGCTCCGTCATGGCGGCAGATGGCGGCGGCGGCGCGCGGCGGGAGCGGCGGGATCCGCGGGATGGCGGCGGATGCGCGTAGGCCTCGGCCCGGGCCCGTCCGTCCCCTCAGACCGGCGCGGGCGGAAAGAGGCGGGGACGCTTCCGGCGGAACCGGAAGTGACGTACGCCGTACGGCAACATGGCGGCCGGCACTGGAAACATGGCGGCCGGCATTGGAAACATGGCGGCCGGCATTGCAAACATGGCGGCCGGCGTTGGAAACATGGCGGCCGGCACTGGAAACATGGCGGCCGGCATTGGAAACATGGCGGCGCCCGTGGGGGCTGTACGGAAAGGGGGGATTGGGGGGAAACCTCCCAGTGTCCCCCAGTGCCCTCCCAGTGTCCCCAAAACATCCCAGTGTCCCCAAAACATCCCAGTGTCCTTCAGAGGGTCCCAGTGTCCCCCCAGTGTCCCCCAAAACGCCCCAGTGTCCCCCCAAAGGATCCCAGTGTCCCCCAGTGTCCCTGCCTGCCCCTTCCCCTCACGGCAGGCCCAGATCCCATTCAGGATCCCAATTTAGGATCCCAATTTAGGATCCCATTTAGGATCCCAATTTAGGATCCCAATTTAGGATCCCATTCAGGATCCCAATTTAGGATCCCCATTTAGGATCCCGTTCCCTCTGTGCCCATTTTGGGATCCTCCTCCCAGTTAAATTTGGGAACTGGGCCTGGTTCCAGCTCAGCTGTCGCGGCTCCTCCGAGGCTCCGGGCCCCGAAACCCCGGCCCAAAACCCCAAAATCCCTTCCCAAAAACCCCCAAAATCCCACCCTAAAATCCCCCAAATCCCACCCCACACCCCCCCCAAAAAAACCCCAAAATCCCCTCCCCAAAAACCCCAAATTCCTTCCCCAAAAATCCCAAAATCCCACCCCAAAATCCCACCCCAAACCCAGCGTGGGGGAGCAGCCAGGGCCGGTGAGTGCTGACCCCGATTTGGGGATTTCTTTCAGGATTTGGGGATTTATTTGGGAATTTAGTTCGGGATTTACTTTGGGATTTATTTTGGGATGTATTTTGGGATTTTTGGGGGATTTGGGGATTTATTTGGCGATTTATTTGGGGATTTATTTGGGGTTTGGGGATTTGAGGATTTGGAGATTGATTTGGGGATTTATTTGGGAATTGATTTGGGGATTGATTTGGGATTTATTTGGGAAATATTTGGGTGTTATCTGGGAATTTATTTGGGGATTTATTTGGGGTTTATTTGGGGATTATTTGGGGATTGATTTGGGATTTATTTGGGAAATATTTGGGTGTTATTTGGGAATTTATTTGGGGATTTATTTGGGGTTTATTTGGGGATTATTTGGGGATTGATTTGGGGATTAATTTGGGGGATTTGGGGGTGATCCTGGTAATTCCCTAACTCATAATTCCCAGCCTGGAAACCGGGAAATTGTGGGGAAATTGGGAAATCCTGGGGAAATTGGGAAATTCCTCCCTTTCCCTCACTCCTCCGGCCTGGAACATCCCCAAAATTCCCAGATTTTCCTGGAAAATGCAACCCTGACCCAATTCTGGCCTTTTTTCCCCCAGGCTGAGGGGGCCCGGAGCCGAGCGTGGCTGGGAGCAGCGCTGGGATGGAGCCAGGTGGGTGCAAATTGATTTTTTTGGGTGTAAATTGGGGTTTTTGGGGTACAAATTGATTTTTTTTTTTGGGTGCAAATTGGGGTTTTTGGGGTACAAATTGATTTTTTTAGGGGGGTGGAAATCGATTTTTTTTGGGGTGCAAATTGGGTTTTTTTGGGGTACAAATTGATATTTTTTTGGGGTGTAAATTGGGGTTTTTTGGGGTACAAATTGATTTTTTTTGGGGGGGGTGTAAATTGGGGTTTTTTGGGGTACAAATTGATTTTTTTGGGGGGTGGAAATCGATTTTTTTGGGGTGCAAATTGATTTTTTTTGGGGTGCAAATTGATTTTTTTTTTTGGGGTGGAAATGGATTTTTTTGGGGGTAGAAAGAAAGTCCCCCCGAATATTCAGATTTAACTGAGCTGGGCTTTCATTCCCTGCTGGGAGTGCCCCAAACTGAGCCCGTCTGTGCCTTTTTTTCCTCTTTTCAGGGGAAAATGCAGCTCTGGGTGAGAGATTTTCCTCCTTTTCCCCGCGGAATGTTCCGGAATGTGCTCGATCAACCGCCCTTAACTCCACCCTTATTCCCCTCTTTATTTCCCCTTTTTTCCCCTTTTTCCCCTTTATTTTCTCCCCATTTTCCCACTTTTATTTTTCCCGTTTTCCCCCTTTATTTTCTCCCTTTTTCCCCCATTTATTTTCACCCATTTTTCCCCTTTTTCCCCTTTATTTTCTCCCCATTTTTCCACTTTTATTTTCCCCCTTTTCCCCCTTTATTCCCCCCTTATTTCCCCCTTTTTGCCTTTATTTTCTCCCTTTATTTCCCCTTTATTTTTCCCCCTTTTTCTCCCTTTTTTCCCTTTATTTTCCCCCCTTTCCCCCCCACTTTTCCCCTTTTATTTTCCCTTTATTTTCTTTCTTTTCCCCGCTTTATTTCCCCCCCTTTTTCCCCTTTATTTTCTCCCCTTTTCCCCTTTATTTTCCCATTTTTCCCCTTTATTTTTCCCTTTATTTTCTCCCTTTTTTCCCATTTATTTTTCCCATTTTTCCCCTTTATTTTTCCAATTTTTCCCCATTATTTTTCCCTTTATTTTCTCCCTTTTTTCCCACTTTATTTCCCCCCTTTTTCCCCCTTTATTTTTCCCATTTTTCCCCTTTATTTTTCCCATTTTCCCCCTTTATTTTTCCCTTTGTTTTCTCCCTTTTTCCCCCTTTATTTCCCCCCCTTTTTCCCCTTTATTCTCTCCCCTTTTCCCCTTCATTTTCCCTGTTTTTCCCCATTATTTTTCCCTTTATTTTCTCCCTTTTTTCCCATTTATTTCCCCCCTTTTTCCCCTTTATTTTCTCCCTTTATTCCCCCTTTTTTCCCCTTTATTTTCCCCCTTTTCCTGGTTTCTCCCCCCCTTTTTTTTTTCTATTTTATTTCCCCCTTTATTTCCCCTTTTTTCCCCATTTTCTGATTCCTTTTCCCTCTCTCCCTTCCCAGAGGAGCGGGACAGGAGGATCAGTGAGTTCCTTTTCTTTTTTTCCATGAAAAAATCAAATTCCAACATTTTTTCATCAATTTTGGGGTCCCCGGGAGGTTTTTGGGGCTGCTCCTGAAAAATTTGGGGTTTTGGGGCCCTGGGGATGGATCCAGACCTGGAAAACTCCAAATAATTTGAATTTTCTTTTTTTTTTTGTTTTTACTTTTTGCTTCCAGGCAAACTCACCTCGGACCTGGGTAAGGAATTCTGGGATTAAAACGAGGGATTTGGCCTCAAAATGAAAGATTTGGCTTTGAAATTGTCAATTTCTCCCTAAAACCAAGTTTGGGTCTTCAAGCGGGAACTTTCACCCCAAATTTGTGCTTGAAATGGGAATTTTCCAATTAGAATTAAAACTGAGGCCCCAATCACGCAAATCAGAGCTGTAAAAAAATTAAAATTAGAAAATTTCGTGCATTTTTGGGGTGGTTTTGGGGCTGGTTTTTCCTTAATAAACCCAATTTTTAGGATTGTAGGGGCGGTGTTAAATAAAAATAAAAATTCCCAAAAATTGGAGGTTCTGGGCTGGGAGGATTTGGGGATTTTTTTGGACTTTGGGGATTTTTTTCATATTTATTGTTTCCTGGGATTTTGGGTGAATTTGGGCTGGTTTTTATTTCCTTTCCTGTGTTTTTATTCCCTTTCCTGTGTTTTTATTTCCTTTCCTATTTTTTATTCCCTTTCCTGGTTTTTTATTTCCTTTCCTGTGTTTTTATTTATTTTCCTGTTTTTTATTTCCTTTCCTGTTTTTTTATTTCCTTTCCTGTGTTTTTATTCCCTTTCCCGTGTTTTTATTTCCTTTCCTGCTTTTTAATTTCCTTTCCTGTTTTTTAATTTCCTTTCCTGTTTTTTTTATTCCCTTTCCTGGTTTTTAATTTCCTTTCCTGCTTTTTCAGGTGAATCCAGCGCCAAACTCAGTCAGTCCAAGGCCAAAATCCTCATTTTAAAGGAAATTTTGGGGGGAAAATTCCCAATTCCCGGCACCACCACGGAGCCCTCACAAAACGAAGGAATTTTCTCACAATTCTCCTTTTCCTGCTTCTTTTCCCCTTTTTTTCCCCTTTTTGCAGAGGAACGTGACCGGAAAATCAGTGAGTGCCATTTCCTGCTGCTTTTGGGGGAAAATCCCCGGGTTTGGGGCAAAACTGATCCTGGCCTGGGGGATAGGAAATGAATCATGTCCCCCACATTTCCCCCAATTTCACCCAAATTTTCACCGAATTTCTCCCAAATTTCACCCAATTTTCCCCCAAATTTCACCTGAATTTCTCCCAAATTTCTCCCAAATTTTCACTGAATTTCCCCCAAATTTCCCCCAAATTTCACCTGAATTTCTCACAAATTCCTCCCAAATTTCCCCCAATTTCCCCCAAATTTCACCTGAATTTCTCACTGAATTTCTCCCAAATTTTCACCTGAATTTCTCCCAAATTTCACCCAAATTTCCCCTGAATTTCACCCAAATTTCTCCCCAATTTTCCTCCAAATTTCACCTGAATTTCACCCAAATTTCACCCAAATTTTCCCCAAATTTCTCCCCAATTTTCCCCCAAATTTTCACCAAATTTCTCCCAAATTTCACCCAAATTTCTCCCCAATTTTCCCCCAAATTTGCCCTGGATTTCCCCCAATTTTCCCCCAAATTTCCCCCAAATTTCCCCTGAATTTCCCCCAAATTTCTCCTGAATTTCCCCCAAATTTCCCCTGAATTTCCCCCAAATTTCCCCCATAAAACCCCCCAAAAACCCCAAATTTCCTCTTTTTCCTCGCCAGCCAAGCTCGCTGCTGAAATCCGTGAGTTCCCCTGGCCCCGCGGGTTTGGGGCTCAAACGGGCCCGGGTTGGGGTCGGTTCCTGCGTTAACCCCGAGTTCCCCCCTGGGCCCAGGGCGGCTCACGGCGCTGCTGGGTACGGAGATTTCATTCACTGCAGGGGGGTTTGGGGCTGCTTGATTCGTTATTCATTAGTAATTATTCATTATTCA